AGTACGAGAAAAGGCTATCGTCAGTTTCTGCTATGTTTGTTAGGCTGCGAATGTAATGTGAGACTACTGTCCCTAGCTGACGGGCGAGAGGGAATCTTAAACATTGCGTTATGTCTCTGCTTATCTAGAGTACCCGTAAGGGGAATTCGGGTTGTCTGGAATAACGGAGAGGGAACAAGAGACGCAGGACCTCACGCTTGTCGGAAAAGCTGCCTCCAGATCGAGAAAAACATGCTCCTTTTTTCTTGGATTTGCGCAAAACCAACCTTCAAGGGCAAGCAGCAGCAGCAGCAACAGGGAGCTGCAGGTTTTCATGATGATACTTCATTGCAGTGTGATCGCTGGCGGCTGACCGCCGATTCGGTGACACCGCACTCACTTAAAGGAGAGTTGCAGGATGCCCCCACAAAATAAATCACTAGTGTAATAAAGCCAATCCAATGACTTCTATCCCGTTTTCATTGTCCCTAAACTGTTTTCACTTGTCCTTCTCATGTTTGCTTGTTTCTTTACTACTGCTCTGGTGTGCCTCTGTTTGACCAAGTGTCACTTTTTTTTTTTATTTCCCCTCTCTCCCTTGTCGTCCTTAAATCCCCTTTTCGTCCCCCCAGCTTATCTATCTCACGCGTTCACATTCGTCGCGGACCCCATCACTTCTTGCCTTGCGGCAGCGATGATGATGGGAGCATCACGTGACGACGTCCCCACGAGGTGCCAGCCTGCGGCTCCCCTAGTGTCTTCCAGCGGTCCTCGTTTCTTCTTTAAACTAATTTTCCGCTCGATTTACGCGCACATATGCTGACCCAACCACCGTTCTGTTCAGCTTCGAGAAGGGAGGGTCACAAGCAGCGGCAGCATTAGAAGCGAAAGCGACCACTATCTGTTCATCGAACACTTACGGAGCCATGGATCCTAACCCGTTCATCCGTCTCTATCCTTTCTCACCGAAATAGAACGCCAAAGGACACGTTCATTCAGTCACGGGGCGACGATAACGACTGTGATATCGCTCACAAGTAGAAATGCAATAAAACGTTAGAGTAGACAACATAAACATATTTTTTCTAAAAAAATATGGTGCAATCATAGTAATGATGTACTCAGAATTTTCAACTCATCTTTAAGAGCATTTTTCGGAGTATTTTTGAGACCTTTTCTTAGCGGAAAATTAATACAATTTTATCTATCACATAACACCGACAGGATGGGTATCTCGAACAGTAATTATTTATTATCACAGATATATGTGATGTTTTCGTGATAGATATAAGTTCCAGCAAGCAGGTCCTAAGATCATTTCGACGGACCGTTTGTCCACACTGTAATATTTAGCGCATCAGGCCTATTTTCACCTTGTGCCTGAGTTAATGCGATGATGTAACAAAGTTGTAACTTATGAGATGCTGTTGTAACCATAGTTAGCAGTTACATGTTAATTGATCAAGATCAAATATTTCATATGTGCGGTTGGCTTCTGCGGTTCAATAGCTTCGAGGTATCAAAGATGTGTTCTCCACTAAAGGCCTATTTTCGATGCCAGCGAGAAGGCCAGCCGGCCGAGTGGCTGAGACGCATATATATATATACATATGTGGAAGGCATCGTCTTATATTGTACGTAATACTGGCGCCTCCTCTGCGCGTTCGGTTAATTCTAAGGATCATAGTCATTGTTACAGCTTTCTCTACTGTTGCCTACAGGTTTAGGAAGTTCGCAAAGGTCAACGATATAAGTCAGGTTGTGTTGCATGTCACGATAGTGTTTTTTGCTTTCGGGATGATAGTATTCGCTAGAAAGGCCGCATTAGAAAGTTACGTAGGATATAGTTCCTTGATTAAGTATAATCGTATGTTAATTTAACAAGACAACGAAATTGAAAAAATATATAATAGCTAGCAAATAAGTCACTTATAATAATTAATAATAATAATAACACATAATAAATTAAACCTGCTTCACTAAACTAGATGTATGTTTGCGGGTGACATGCATGAAGCTATTCCGGCAATATTCTTAGCTTCATATAGGGAGCGGTGCTGTTAGAAAGGAATAAAAACAAGTATTTTACGTGAATATGAAACAATGTGTACAAATGTATTACAATATTTATTCAAACTTCATGCAAATACGCAAAAAAATCATCAAGGTCTATAAAAATAATGGAAAAAAAAACAATTGTTTATCAGAAATCATCGATATCAAATACCCAAAGCCATTATCTCAGCGCTCACATTATATAGTGAAAATCAGTCTTGTGCATATGTAATGTTTGTTACTGTAATTGTAATAATCATTGATAAGATGATATGTTGTTTCTTTTAATAGTTCTCATGAAATCGTTTGTTTGCCGCATTTTTCCGTCGCATTTCGCAGTCAGAGGACAACAGAAGGAGAATGAAGGAAACGTCCCGTCTATAGTTCTTTTATTCCACCAGTTATCGGGGAAATTAATAAGCACTCGTACTACTAGCACTGCGAAAGTATGGGGGCATGGGGTAGACACACTCAAGAGAAGCACTCTACGAGATGCTGTGGGGATAGAATAAAGAAACGGTCCGAGTTAGGGACCAAAGTCGAGATCTTATCAAGGCCAGCTGGGTGGCCTCTTCTACCAGCTTTCGTTTTTAAGAAGCTGGAAACAACAACAACAACAACAGGGAAAAGGACACAGTCAGCACCACTTAAGGGTACAAGTGGAAAGCGGATAGCGAAAGCTAACCCCGTGGGGGTTAAAGACAACAATCCGGTAGGGCTGATGTATGTGTATGCAGCGTAGAGGTCCGTTCGGTGTAGTGGATACAATGCGCAGCACACATACGCTTTGATTGAAATTAGAATATAACCTTGAAAAATAGGTTTTGATACGAACCCCAGCTTAGAAATATTCTGCTCAGAGGTAACGAAATGAAAAGAAAAAAAGATATACCCTAACCATAAGGACAATAGTGGCAATACACGTTTCTTAAAAGCCGGCTAAATGGTTTTATATTATCATTAATAAGAACACACTCATTCAGATAAAAGAAATGTACAATGTAAATTCAGCCACTCCTCATGTTCTGTCTATGAACTAGAGCGGAAAATTCTCCTCGTGTTTTTTTTGTTGTTGGCATAGATAAAAATTGCCAGCTTTCACTATGTGCTTGCTGGAGGCTGGCAAAGAAACTGATATAACTGAGAGAAGATAGGTGGGCAGTGGGAGATAGGGGGCGGGTGTGAAAACGGAAGTTACACGAAACTTTGCTATGTCCGGATCGCTGCTGCCGCTGTTGTTGTTGTTGCTGCCGACCTAGTGACTAAGTGTATCATTCACTGTACGAGAAGCTGGACGGCGGACGTACGAAAATCAGAGAGAGGGTTGTTGCTATTGCCGCCATCTATCGCGAGTTTAATCGCTGGTTGGGAAAAGCGTTCTTTCCTTTAGTCGATAGCGCGTAGAAAAAGTGAGAAAAGCGGGCACTTATTAAGTCAAGTCAAGGGTGAAATTCGCTGGCATCACTCGTCTGACGTGATGGTAGCAGTGGTGGCATGTGGCGACATTGAGAACGCCAACGAACGACAGTCTTTTCCGCTAACGTGAGGACGATACACGCCACGCGTTGCCATAGTAATGTGCATAGGCAAAGATGGCGCAGAGGGAAATGGAAGAATCATGGTTGAACAGAGGTCACATGTTACAGGGGCTGGTGTGCATACTCTTCTAGATGAAATGGCCTTTGCCAAGCTGTTGGCGCGGCAATTTTTACAAGGACCGTTGGTCGGTATTACATATTATGTATCGTACTACATGTGCATGATAAAATAGGCAGGGCAAGATGGGATGTGCGACAACGAATTGCTCATAGCGTCGGGGTAGCTGTGGCGACGCTGGTGGCCAACCAACGCGATACGCCAACGCATACGGCCTGATAGAAACAGTATTTCTGCGACAACTATCATATCACTTTATCTTTTCTTGCTCCATCCTAGACGCTGGAAGTTCTATAGTGTAATTTCGCTTGACGTCGTTGTGAAACAGTTGGGCGCTACAGTTATTTGTACGTAGTAGACTCTCGCATCAAGCGATATGCATAAACCTCGCGAAGAGAGCTCACATCATGGGAACTATGCCTTGTTGTTTCTGGGTGGCCCATATCGCTAGATGTTTGCGACAGTCGACGCGAACGAGCAGCGTCAATAGACGCGTATGTCGTTCTCCTATCTGAAAGGAAACATTGAACAGCAAAAACCCTACGTACGAATAGATTTTATTCTAATAAAGATGACTGTAAATGGCCAGTTAAATTAAATGCGATATATGTGTTCCTCGCACAAAACGGTTTCTATCTGCGTTGGCTTACAGTTGCGTCGGACGCGGTCCCAATACAGAGAACCCTTTGTATGTGTAAATAAGTGTAAACAAACATGGAGAAAAACACTGCAATTTACATTGGACTCTCCTTTCGGATGAAGTAGAACGATGCGGTTTTCCAAGGGCTGAACCATCTAATGTACTGTAGCTAGCTCGAGCCATTATTACTTCCTTAATTAACCTTACTGGGATGGCTTTTTTTGTTTCTTGTTAGCTAGAGCATCCATCATTTGAAATAGATGGTCCATTTTCTTAGAGTCTTCGTTTAACTTAAGTATAGTTCTTAGATTTACTTAAGTATAGTTTTTTAAGTGACTTTTTTTGCTACGGCTGCGCAGGGGATCGTTTTGGCAATTGTTATCGGAATCAGGCAATTCTATTACTCGGCTTATACTACATTATGCTTGAAAACAATTGTTTTCGTGCTTTTATTATAATTTCGTCAGATTTACCAAGACGGACACACGACTATCAATGGTATGCGTACACAGAGGTAGTAGTATCTGCTCAGACCCTGTCACATGTTTCATAGATATGATTTAGCAATTAGGGTCATTGGTACTCGGTGATTTCGAGTAGAAATCATGCGATTATTTCGTTCCATTATCTACTAATATTATGCGTGTAAACTTGATTATCTATATTACAGAGCTTTCGTCGCAGTCGTATACACCAAAGCCACGATTTGTCGGTTCCGTAAAAAATCGCACAGCGGCGCTCGGCAGGGAAGCTTCATTGGAGTGCAGCGTAGAGAATCTCGGAAATTACAAGGTAATTCGGAGTAACGGAAGTCGTTACACTCACCCCTTGCTACAGGCTTTACTCAATGGGTAGCAAAGACTGATTGGCAACAAAACCTAATAGTGTGTTAAAGGAAGTACCGTCTGGCTTTAAATAAGTACGATATGTATATCGCTGTACAGTTAAAAACAAAGATCGTCATTTAGGCTCTTCGTGATGAAGGAACATAATTGTCGAATCGGGTTGAAATAAAAAAATATCTCAATTTAATAGCGTCCGTCAATATATCGATACGAATACGATAAAGTATTATTAGTGGTATTATGAGTTCAAGATATTTAAGTTAAAATAAGAATCTGTAAACGCACATTCGCCGTATGCATACAAACCTTTACATTAATATGCTTTCATATGTGCATGGTCCTTACATGTAATCCTTGCATAAAATCTAGACAACATTCGGTCCACCGAACGTATATAGGGAACAATAGATTTCATCAACCCGGGCCATGTCCGCTTTCGCCCAAGTTTCCAATATCCATCTCAACCTCTTGTGGCTTTTGAGTTCCTACTGTCGTTAGTGACAGTGATCTTTAGAATTATCACCAGTGTCTGCGTTCTCTTTTTCGAGACTGTCCTTCTTCAGATTTGTTCCATACTCTTGGCCTTCGAGACTACTTATCCCGCGCACTCTTTCGCCGCTTCTCAATTTCCCCAATAGAGCGACGTGAGAAATGTGCGATAGAGAATGTAGGGGAGAAAAACGCTGACAACGAACCAGCGAGCGTAGATATAATATAAAGAAAGGAACGCAAACCTTCTTTTGCCATCATTTGCAATCATCACCACCGCCTTCTTATCGGCGCCTTACCAAACTCGTTTTTATCATGAACGGTAACGATGTAGAGGCATGTCTTTATCGTCCGTCGATCACTTGGTTGTACACAGGGACCATTTTCTCAGCGTTGTCTAGCATCAGTTCTCATTTGCTGCGCGGGCTGAAACCACGTTTTGCGTTTATCCTTGTCTGCTTTTGACCGCTCGCCACAATGGTTTGACGAAGAGCAGAAAGGGCTAACAGCCAACTACAAATTTGCAGCTCCACGTTTTTGATCCTATTCGGGTGACTTTGACAATCGGAGAGCCTTTCTTTTTACCCACGGCGACATTGCTCTAAGTATACTGCGTCAGTCCAGAACAAGAGGTTGTGGTCTTCGGCCCCTAGTTGCCGCTCTGTTCTTCACTTCACATCCAGGTTCCGCCGGCTACGAATTACGGGCCGCACCATATTGAAAACCATGTCATTGAAGGTAATGTCCAAGGAATGTGTATGAAAAGGAGGGAATACCTGAGATTCTAAGAAATACTGCCATTTTCAAGTCCCAATCGATGGTGACGATGACCTGGCATGGCTTTTCCAGGTTAGCAAAGGCTTCCGACGAAAAAGAAGGCGCCTCGTTATAAAGTCTAGGCGTATTAAAGGAAACGCTGTTACTCCTTATACCCTCAACGTTTGGCCTCACATTTGCTGAGCGGTCGGGAACAACCTTGACGGTGAAGCTCCTCAATAGATTGCTTCGGTTTGTGCAAATGGTAATGACAAGCATATACCAAAAGCTAGTTGTGGAAAGAATGCACAAACACACAGGGAGCCTTACTGCGCGGAAATGATAGTAACGGGACACTTCTTAAGCTGGCCCACGATTCCTTTTTTCTATTTTGTTTCTCTCTTTTCGTTTGTCTGACCGCATTACTTCTTGTACTCTTATTCAGTCTTTGTCTTTTTTTGTGTGTGTGTGTGTGTGTTGGCAAGACGCGTGTCCCTCTGTCCGGTGATGGCATTTACATTGGCACTTGTCGCCTGCGTTATGTTCTGCTCAGGTTGTTGTCTTCGTCGAGATCCAGCTCGGTCGGCGTCATGCGTTCGCGTTCGACGCGCGCCCAACCAAACAGACGACAAATGAACCGACGACGGCTAAGGTTACTTCTTGGCGTGCCACCTTTCGTCCTCTCCCGCCCTCTCCCTCTCGTTTTCGCCCCAGTTCTCTACGCTCTTTACAGCCGGAGATCTTCACCATAGGGGGTAGGTGCCGCCGCTGCTCCTGCTGTTGTGGCTCCGATAGTCAGCCGCCAGCAGCTACATAGATCTTTTTGCCGCAGAGTCTTATTCGATTCTCGTTGCACTGCTCTTGTTGCTGCGGCGCCATCTTTGAGCCGACGGCCAGGCGCGGCGCATCGCGTTGGTGGTAGCAGACCAGCCCACCGGCGATCTCTAGCCGGCGTATGTTTTCCCCCTTCGTGTGTTTGTATGTGTGAGTGTGATCGCGCATGTGGTATGTTCCACTGAGTGTCTCTATCGAGGTATGTGTATGTACTTCTCCTTTTCTCTCCGTGTGTCTGTGCGCACGTCTGTCTCTCTGGCCGTCTGTCTATGTGAGTGTAGTATATAATTTAAAGATTCGATAAGAAAGGAAATCAATGCCGATGCTGTCCGACGCTGCCTTCTTCGTTGGCTCCAGCTTTACGAACAGCAGCAGCTAGGAACAGCAGTAGTAGATCCACAATGCAAGACAGTCAACGTATGGGACTGGGAACTTTTGGGCTTAGAGGGGCATTCCTGGGGCGCGCTCATGAGAGTGAGCCGGAGGAGTTCAAACATCATGTTCGATTTCTGCCGCTCTGCGTACCGCGACTACTGCCTCTGCTACCACTCGTCTTATCGCATGGCAAAGAGCAAGCGAAGAAAAAGGACTTCTCTATGTTGGCCAGGCGGTCGGTCCTTCTAGAGGCAGAATTTGCAGCAGTGGCCCCGATCGCGCAATGTGTGTGGCCACAGGCCTAGAAGCTGCAGATCTCAACTGATAGTGTGGTGTGGTAGAAGCAAAAAGCTCGAAGCAAACCAAGGTTTCTTCTTCTTCGCTATAGCGTTTTTTTGGCGGCTCCTGTGCCTTCTTAGCACATCGGCCCTTGCGCCTGTGGACTTTTTCTCCAGCCACATGACGAGTGTGGACATTCGAAGCTTTCACTAGTGCACGCTTGGCCCCACTTGGCCGTAGGTGCGCAGCTACAATGAACATCACTCCGGTTATGTAGAAGGAGAACCTTCATGTGTGAATAAGCAGTACGAGGTGATGAAAAAAGTAAACCGGCCATCATGTGGGCCTGGCGAGGTCTGGCAGCCAGAAGGGGCCTCGCAAGGGATTTCATTTCGACCTTGGTATTGGTATTTACGCACACCGTGGATCGCATGTGATATGCAGTTCGCGTGCATCACCCGGCCGCGTTGACTCACTGGCTAATCCTCCGCTTCGTCTCAGTCCTTTCTAAATAGCCTGTTAAACGGAAACAAAGCAATTTACACTGTCGCCGACCGACCCAGAAACGAATAATTAAGATTTGGCCCGTTTCTATAGACATATAGGAAAAACTTAAGTAACTTCATTAACTACGTAACTGCTTATGAAGATTCGTATATTTTAATGAGAAAAACATTTATGGAATTATACCGCATACGAGATAAATAGCGTAATTGGTTTGTACTGAATTGCGCAAGCGCGAACAGACTGTGCAAAATCGTTTTTGCCAGCGATAATTCACGTGCTTCCATGCAGAAGTATGTGCTGCACGCGCTAAACCACCTTGCAGCAACGGTTTCAGACCAGGTTTAAAACGATTACCGTGGAAAAAATTGCGACAAATGTAAAGTTCTTGAATAGTATGGATTCTCTAATCATTTCAATTAAAGCACATTTAGGTCACATAAGGCCAGGTGAAACATATTCGCTGGTAATTACCTGTGTTATTCTAATTTTCCCCAATCGTCGGATTTCCTTCCATGTAAAAACGTTGTTATTACGTTCGATGTAAACAATTTCAGCGGCCACTGCGTAGATTACTGTTGGGTACAACAAATAACTTATTTGTTACATCCACATTTTCTTGTTCATTGAACATCCAAATATCTGTAACCCCATGGAGCTAGTTTTTCGGTTTCAGCATAACAGATCTTCTAGGAACACCAGATCTTGAATTGGCCTTAAGCATACATTGGTTGCGGACTTTATCAAAGTACCTCAATGTGCCTTTTCAAGTAATACATGGTATACAATATATTTGGATTACTAGCTGCAACTATGCGAGGAAAAGACGGATAAAAATATCCGAAATTCCAGTAAACACAGTATAAACTAGATTGTGGTTATCGGAGTAACAACAACTTCACATCTTCGTATCGAGATCGACCTATTGTTGCACTTTCACAGCGACTTTAATTGAGGATCGCTGAAGCTCGTTTTGATCCAAAAAACAGCAGGTACCATGTAGCTTCAAGTAACCGGCATACTGTTTATACACAATACCCTTAACGAGTTGATTTTTTTCACTAAATTGTGATGATGAACATGATCCTTGCGGCCCCCTCTGAACAACGACCCAGCCGACTGATCTTATGTCGCCTTGATTTCGTCACTCTTCTGTCAGTTAATAGCTACACGGCCAGGTTATAATTTTACCTTCACTCCAAAATTATATAGTTCTAATATTGGCTGTCAATGAGAATTTCCACTAGTCCAAGTCTTAGAGAAATGGAGATATACGCAATGTAGACGATATACTTAGCTTACGTCGCAATTTCGTTTATCTAACTATTGAATATTATTTACGGTTAGTAAGGACGTAATTATTCATAATCTAATAGTTTTTTCAGGGTGCTGAATATATGATTAGCAACGAACTTTTCGAACGTGAGGCGCGCAATCTGCAACATCAATTTTAGAGCTTTTTTTCAACATAGGCGTCACAAAAGAAAAAAAAAAAAAAGAAAGCAGTAGGGTATAAAAGCCGCTTGACAACCATGACCAAGATCATTTCTATGGAGCTCAGTTGACACGAAAAACAAGCTTTCTGTTTACGATTAAAGCAACTTCATTAGAGATTAAACTACATTAAGGCGCAAGTAATCTGACTTTATTAACAATAGACTTAGCCTGTGCGCTAGCCAATTAATAATAAATTCTATATCACCGAATTCAGTGCCAAAGTTTTATGGATATAAATGAAGAATTTTTCAGTAAGCGTCATTGAACGTCTCAGTCCTTAATGTATCATTAAACACAAGCTACCCACTGAATCGAGGGGCATCTTTGAATTGGCTTATAAACAAATTTAAAGGGCATCTTTCTTTGAGCTTCGAAAAGCAAAAGCGATCCTTTAGAGATTCGAAATCGTACTGACACTATTTTCAGGCTCACTTGTGTGTCCTTAAAAGCATGCTTGTCAATGTGGGCCGAACGTCAGAGAAAATCAAAACACGAGCGTGTCGTGTCTCCCTTCCTACAGACGCTTACCGAAAATGCAGAAGCAATCAAACTAATTGTAAGTCGCTCGGCTATTATGCGAACGTTCGTCGCATATTGCGTCGAGCGGTCACATAAAGAAAAAGGACCGCATATGCGTGGTCCCTGCAGGTAGGAGGGCGTCTCTGTATCTATTGACTTGGGGTTTGGGGAGGACAACCCAACTACTTCTATGGTCGAACTGTCTTATGGACGCAAGCCGTCTAGCCTAGGCATCCAGTGACGTTGCAGAAGCGTGAGGCGTAAATGACACAGTCACGGTATTCTATGTGGAAGGTGATACTACTTCAAAAACGACAAAAGCAAAGTTTCCTCTTTTTCTAGTCGATTCGATATGTGGCAACGAAAAGAAGAAACGAGATAGATATGATCATGACACCGGACAGATGGCCCCCTGACGATGACGAGTACAACACTCAATAGAATCACAACCTCCCATTTGTGCACGATTACAACTTTGCTCTATTCGTCTCGCTTTTCTGCTTTCGCATGTATTTCCCCGCATGTAGAGATGGTATATGGGAAGGGGAAGAAGGTGGCATACGAACGACCACAGAAAGTGGGAATGGACAATCTTCGGACGGGCAAAAAACGAGAGTAGACAAGCCCAGACAGGCGCCGAGCAGACAAAAAAATCGAATATTTCCCACAAACTCACTGAGTTGACTCTTTGGCCTGTTTCGTCTACTGAAAAAAGAGCGCGCGCGCCATGGTTCAAGTCGGCAAGATGATACGCTTTACCTCAAAAGGACAAACTGAAGACGAGGTGTTGGTAATGCTGCTCTGAATGTATGGATAGCGCCACGATGGATGGAGGATACAAATTGAAAGTTGTGAAAGCAAACCCCTATTAGATAGGCAGGTAGCTCTATATAGGGCACACAGACATAACGTATCTATTGGAGAACCCTGTTAGGAGTACATACTTGTCATATATATAATAGCGTTAGAACCGAATCAGGTAATTTCTGATAGAAAACACTGACAGGTGCCGTTAATACGTAAGCATGTCTATGAAAAGGTCAAGACATTTTGATACCTCGATTCTTTTTTCATGTGACATATTTTCTAAACGCAACTTCGACATTGTCAAAGCTCTACATCTCGACAGAACCGCAAAGGAGTTCCGAAGTTCGACACTGTATTTTTCAATCAGTTCACAAAAACCAGGTTTATAATAAGCCAGCCTGTGAATTTCGTAGGCGAAACCTAAGTGTCTAAATTAGAACCATATTTTTTTCAAGGACAGATTTTAAATTCCCTTGATGAACACAGTCGATGAATATAAAAGTGTTGGTTGTTTAAGACACTAATAAAAACCCGCATCCTTTTCTTGCACGTTACAAGATAAGGTGCTCTAACAAGAAGTACACCGAATGAAAAGAAAGCTCGCTTCGAAGCACAGCTACGTCCGGCTTAACCTTACTCATTTGAGATAGAACTAGCAGTTAAGCCTATTGCTCTCTTTCTACCTTGATTTTGTAGCGTTTCAGCCGGTCAATGAATTGCGTTGCGTGCGTCATTTTAAACCCTATTTGATTTGGAGCAGTTTGCAGATCTGTTTCGGTTTCCTAATCAATTTACTTTTCAGCGAAACAATTTTTGATATGAGTGCTAACGTGTACCCGAAATCGAGGCTAAGGAATTGCTCATTGTACTATCTACCTGCTCTAACCCAAACCCGAACGAATAGGTAATAAATACAGCACCTTTATAATTCTTCTTTTAGGAATAGGATTTGTAGAGTTGTAGCTGGCTGTATGAAATGCTTTACGGACTATGGAAGGAGAGATCTCCGGCTATATAGGCATCGAAACTGTGGCATGTATATCTAACATGTTGCTACAACTATAAAATAACTTACTAGCAATGTTTGTTCTAATTATACAACCTGTATGCTCAGTTCCTAGTAATTGCCTCTTGCCAGCGTTCCTACCTTTTATAAGCAATTTGTCTGTTAGAAATAGGTTCCACTAGAGACCTCAAAGGGCAACAGATATCTCAAATCGTAGAGTCGAAGCTAGCCAAGAACAACTGGGTGGAAAGAGCAGCAAAAGTGCGGCATCTAAGTGCAAAGTTACCAGGCTTACTGTCGGCATGTCTCCGCGTGTGGCATATGCTGTACAGCTTATGGCATCTGTGCTCCCGACAATTGCTCCTCTGACCCTGGACGACGCTGGCGACAAGAACGGTTAGAACTTCAGAAAGCATCAATGGCGTTAACCGGAACCCCTAATAGCTTCGGCTTGAGGTAGCACTGGTGCTGCAGTGGCCTCTGCACTATTTCACAGGTTTCAGTTTCGTTCGAAGCGGGTAAAGCCGCAGCTTCCGCTTACTTCCTTTCTTTGTACACACATAACTACATCTACGTTATGCTGCGTAAAGAATACATACTAAATATGAAAGGATAACGGTCGTGCTGACTGCCTGAGCCAGCAACATGCCGTATGGAGCAGGGTAACGATGTATTAGTCGTGGTAGTTGTAGAAGGAAAGGATAAACCTGAAAAATAAGTTATGACGAGGAGAGAGGGAATACACGGCCGGAACATGGAGCAGCTTAGCTGTAGTTGCTTCTCAGAAACAAGAAAACTCCGTATGTTGAAGGAATCCATGCCAGAGGTTACAGAAACGGCGTAGAAGACCAAAGAGAGAAATTAGGGAAAAACGACAACAACGACATCAACTTAAAACCTGTAGTGGGCGTTTCTAAGATACACAGCGCGCTGCGCCCCTCCACCAGTTGAGGTGCACCGCAATGCGTTGGACCAGAGGAAAAACTCTTGGTGGAAACGGCAATAACGACCAGTCGTGGCAGATGATGCTTCGTGCCGCCGAAGACAATAGGACTTCCCTTCGTTAAGTGGCAAGTAACATTGGCCCGTCTGGTCGTTGCTCATGGCGTCAATCAACGCTTGCGGGATCCGCACACGAACCCGTAAATAGAACCCCACCATCAGTCCCACGACAGAGAAAACAACAAAACTGAATTGGCCGTTGAGGTGGCTGCGGGCGTCCGGGCAACTTCTTGTTTGCCACCTTATGATCACAACGGTCATTGCCGGTACTCTATGGGCGGTGATGGTGTTGTTGATGGCCATGGGAGAGGAGCCGTATCTCGAAGTCTATCTATGAAGAACTGCGGCACGAGCCACAGGGTGAGCGAGGCGAAAAAAAAACACAATTATGAAAGGGGCACTTGGAAGTTTGTACTGCCGTAGATATAGCCCTGGATGTTGCTGCTAGGTGGCGGATACTAAACGCAGGCTAGGTTACAGACGGAACACGAACGCATCATCCGCTTACCATGATAACAACTAAGGCTAAAAACAAGAGTTAGATAGTTAAGGAAACGGAGCCTCACCTGTGTAGGACGCAAATGAATGGAAAGAGGTGTTGCTGGAAACGATTCTTTCATTATGAGTCTCTTTATTACCTGTTTGTTATGCCAATTCAGATAAAAGGCTCGAACTGAGGATTTGCCCTCGCCGATAATCAAGGAAAGCTTATAAAATCCGAGAGAAGAAATACGAGACAGGGTCAAAGCTATACAGGTTATTTAACGACCATCTGACTTGATAGAAGTCCCAAAAAACAACGAACTAAATACGAAAATATAGATATGCTAGATAGAACGGTCATTAATAAATGGCTCATCCATGTGGCCTTTCATCAGACACGGGTACAATCTCTTACTAGCTTCCTGTATGAGGGATCTTTTAAGAGGTCGTACTCTAGATAACTGCGTACAAGTCTAAAGCATACCCAAACCTGCGATCGAACTCACCGTCTGACTACATCGTTAAAATAATCTCATGGGAATGATGTTGAAGTGATTATTACGAAGGTGCACACACATAATGGGACCAAACGTGCCCACATGCCTTCATCAGTAAACAAGGCAAAGCCCAGCTGATTAGTGTATTCAATGGTATAAATAGTAAAAAGTTTTAATAATGGAAATTCGCGCTTTTTCAACATGATGATATAAATCGGAGAGTTAGTCCCAAAACTTATTAGTAACTTTAATAGTTTGATTTCGAAGCAGATGAAGAATCGTTTGTTCTAACGAATCGACGCTGTCCGCAACCTACCGTTCATAAAAAAAATTTGTACCGACGAACCGTTTGGCTGTACTTAATTAAATTGTCCTCCGGAGTAAATTATAACCATTAAGAATAATATTATCTAGCTTTTACTTAAACAGGCCTGAACTTCTTCGCAATTTTTCCGACAGGTGACATGGATCAAGATGGACACCGAAACGCTATTGACGTTTCACACAACGATCATTGCTGGTGAAAACCGATTACGTGTATCTCACAACAACGCCCGCCAGTGGTACCTCCATATCAAGAATGTGCAATTGGCCGATAAGGGAGCGTACATGTGTCAGATTAATTCACAGCCAATGATTAATCAGGTTGGATACCTCGATGTCCTAAGTGAGTATCTTTTTATTTTTTACTGTTTAAAGCTTTACCCAGCCTAACCTAATACAGAAAGAATCAGTGTAATGGCTCTTTTCTAAACTCCAGCCAGAAACGGTGGAAGTGTGCACTTATGTCTCTACGAAAAATGGCTAGTAGTTGATGTATGATTGATTGTATAAATCACATGTGCCCTCTCTGAATGTTGCAGTCCCGCCCTCGATCGTAACTGAAGGCACAATGAGCGAAGTTAATGTGCATGAAGGACAGAACGCGACCCTTCGCTGTAAGGCTCACGGATATCCGACGCCGACGATAACCTGGCGAAGAGAAAATGGCAAAGATATATCTTTGCTCGCAGGTCCCGCTGAGGCACCCAACTCTGCAAAAACTAACAAAGAGTTTGGATCTATTGCATCTGCATCGCACCCTCACGGGATCAGTAGCAAGAAAAAGCTAGCCGGTAAGTCTCTGTTCTAGATCGATACATTCACATGGTTCGTACTGAGAAAAAAACTGTAAATCTATTACTTCCATTGCGTGAACGTTGCCTACTCAGACTCGGCAGAGGGCATCGTTGTGCAATATAAAGTGGTGAACAAAATTAAAAAGAGGTTCTGCCAAGTTTCTTCTTCTTGGTGAATACTGTTATATTTAAAAGAGGGCCTACTGAGCTCTGTGCAAACCAAAAGGTCAGTACCAATATAGCTGCTAGTCCGAACAGAAGACTACCTACATCTACCGATGGTTTTTCATACTAGTAATATTACCCATTATCTAATACATTGCGCCACTGACAAAGTTTTACTAAAGTTCTTGCAAAATTACTATTTGCGACCCATTATTCTGTTGGGGTGTTGCTGTTAGCTGTAGATATAGTGTCAATTCTCCGGTGAACATCAGAACAGGGCCAACGATGATACGGTACGGACCAGGCTTGTTGGGTGGTTTCGCTAAGGCCCGGCCACAGACTTCGGCCGGCAGTATAGCGGCCGGGCCGGCCCGGCCCGGACCCGCACGATGGATTTCCTATAAAGGCCTCATTAAGTCTATCGCCACCCCAACCTTCGTAGGCTCCTATCGGCAACATATAGACGAATCCACACATCTATGAACATCAGCGCAGAGGCATGCAAGCTCATGTAAGACACCAAGTGGAGCTGGATATTTCCCTCTCTCTATCTTACATTCTACCATCCTCCCTATGTCGTCGAACCTAGATATCATCAGGCTAGAAGGAGCGACCGACGTCCGTGATCTACTTCTTCATAGACTCCCTTAAAAAGTCCGTTGCGTACCGTTTTCCCATGCTTAGTCGCGGCACAGCATATCCCCAAAGCTCCTCGAATCGCCCTGTTTCGGTACTACCAGTGACGGCAGCAGCACGATGTAAGCGCAGCCTCCCGCGCCACACGACAACAACGACCCTAAGCGACAATGCTACATCAACAAATGTTCTCGTTGAGAGGTTCTCAAGCGAAGTAAACAGAAGAAGCTTTCGACGGGACACTGGACTGTGTAGAAGCGTCTCCTGTTACAAACAACCCCGTCTTACACAGGAAAATCTCTTCCCGTCCATTTGTTTTTCTGCCGTTGTTTTCTGCTCGTATCAACATATTATCATCACTACAGCTTACGTTTTTTTCATATATCGGGAGGATTGGCGGTTGGTAAAGGGTTAGGATCTAAGACAGACTTAAGAAAAACGGACAATTTTCACGCAGATGTTTTTAACTGACGGAAAAGTGGCCTTTCGTTCTTTCCATATGATCCCGCCCGATTCCTGCTCATTCTGTTCGCTGTGTCTCTTCGAGAGCAAACCCAGAATGCATACTCATTTCTTTCCTGTTTGTTCGTTCCTCGTTCCTCGTTCTTATTTGTACACACAGCAACGTTCGGTGATCGGATAGCGCTGCTGTTGTGACAGCAGTAAGCACAGTTCTTCTCTCTCTCGTTCATACCCCCCTGAAATCAATATTAGCAAAACAAGTAAATGCAGTTATGCCAATGAAAATAAAAACAATCGGCATCACTAACGGGAGCCGCTAATCCTCAAAGACTGCCAAGAAATCGAACAAGAGATGAGAAGAGTTAGAAACCTACAATTTTACCTGAAGAGCAGGTCACCCCAAAACAGTTACAGCACTCTCTCGTACAATTCGTAGGTTACGGGGGTATTATCAGGTGGCGCTTCGTCATACATTTTACTACGTCGTTCGAGAAGTTTGTTGATGAATTTAGATTGTTCCTAGTTACATTTTGTCTGCAAACATTTCGGTAGTTTTAAAATAACTCTCTTCTATACATCATTTTGCTCATTCCTGTTGCAGTGGCGCATGTGAGCGGCGAGGAATTAAGCCTTGTCGGGGTAAAACGCGAAGAAAGTGGTGCCTATCTTTGCATTGCCAAAAACGGTGTCACTCCAACGGTGAGCCAACGTGTAAAATTGCTGGTAAATTGTAAGTAATACAAAATGGCCAGTTGACAAGTTTTGAATAGCACTAGTTAATAATAACGTATTGGATAAGTGTTACATATTCTAAATGTATGATAGAAACGTCGTACAAAGTAGTCGAATGGTAAAAACAAATGAAAGATTATCGTACAAGATACGGTTAGGCTTGTTTACAAACACCGACTCATAACAGTATGGAAAGACCTAGTGACAATTGCTTTACTGAGTGAAAGCGGTTACCCGTGCAAAGCCAAGCCAACTAAAAAAAAACCCAACATTTTTTCTAGGTAGGTTTAATATTTATCTAGTTATTCTAGTTTAGAGTTTTCCTCACAATAAAAGCGAATACAGAAGAATGGGCGAAATAAATCAATTTTACAATATCCTCATAAATAGATGGTGCGAAAAAAATAAAGTGTTAAAGTTTAAAGACGATTTAAATAATTTGTCACTTGCCATAAGGTATAGGGGTATCGTAATCTTGCATGTGTTCTCTACCAGATTCACTCGTATTCATAAGAACTCTCGTTTTTTTTCGCCAGCTCTCTGCATTTACTATATTTCCTAGACAATGATATATTCTTGCTTCTTTCCTATCGACCAAACTCTTTCGGCTCATATAGTTTAAGGGTCGGTTTTGGAGGGCTTTGGTTGACCAGCTGATTCAGCTCTTTTGGCCACCCCGTTTAGATATTACAACTCCTTAATAGAAAGCAGCTCGTGAAACACGAGGTCTAACTTCCTTTGCTTTGAATAACGAAAAACTTTTTATACATGATTTTCGAAATGTTAGCAATGACTTTTCATCTAAACAAACTCTATATATGACAATACACTAGTATCTCGCTAATTTCTAAAATATACTAATGTGTCGTTATGCCTTTTACATACTCTATAATTTTGCGCCTTTTTACAGAGCCTATGCTTTTAGGGCGTGACAATATATACATCCAAACGTCTTCATTGCAGCATCATCTTCATCTGCTTTTCGCTATCGTCCCTTTCTGTTAGACCAGTCTGGGACTAGTTCAGCAGGTTTAGTAGACGCGACGCTTCTACGACGGTAGCTATGTACGACTCAATGTGGCGTAACCGTTAGTTGTAGAACTTTCCTGACTTGCTTTCTCACATCTGTACATATCACAAAAGCCAACCACCGCCTGAGTGCCGCTTGGCTGCGTGGCGGTGCAGGGGGTAGGCTATATACAGGGGGTGTTGGTGTATTTAATAAGAATAGAAAGGAGTTGAGCTGCTGAGGTCGGAAGGTTAGGAGGTCAGATGAGGAAAACGAAGAAAAGGCCCAATACTCACCATCGGCTAGCGCCAGGGACGCCGCTTGAGTGAATACTCAAACATACGCGGTTCGTTGTTCTACCGCGACCGCCGCAGGGATTCAATACGCAGGAATAGACGCTTGAGTTGTAGGGATCATGTAGAACTCTTCGCTTGCGCTTCCACATGGTGACCGCAGTAAGCCGACACAGCGAGACGTGCTTTGACTTATTCCTCTTAGTAGCGGAACGGACTACTACCAGCAGCGGAAGCAGGGCACGCGCGCAGTGGACACATAGTGAGCGTGACTGCAAGGCGCACAAAAGAGCTGAAAAGAAGTTAGAAAGAGTGAAGGCAAAGTAGAATCTTCGTTACTATTGGCTCAAGTATAATATGGCCGCAGCTTGTAGTGCAATGAAAGCCGAAATTAAATCATTGAGGGAAACAGGATGCATAGAGGGCGCAAATCTTTTCGATATGTGTTTAGGCAGCTGCCTCTAATAACACAGAAAATCTAGTTTTTTCATATCGGCCTTTTCTTGAACTCAAATTTTTCGTGAATTACAAATGCGTGTCGTTTTTTTTGCAGTGAACCTACGCAGAAGTGCTATGCAGCAAAGCAAGGACGTGTTGTAAAATCTGGCCAACTTGCCATAAATTTTAATTGAGACTTACGTCAACTAGTTTTTTTTACGTTAATGTCCTGGTGTCGTGTCAAAGGCTTCGGCACGGTTTTCAAGGACATACAATACGTATAACCGACGCCTTAACGATGTAACATAGATCGCGATACGCGTTTGATCTTTAGACTTTGCTTACACTTAGCCAGTAACTTCTTACCTTACCCTGATTAAAGAGAAAGACTTTGTTTGAGATCCGAAGAACTCGAAATCGAAGGCTGGAACAACGAAAATAGTTGTCGCTGTCCCCCGACTCAATTCGCTGTTTCCTTTGTATTGATATTTAGAAGTGCGTAGTGTACTCTTTTAGCGAGTCTTCAGTATCTGCTTGGGTGGTTCCGCTCACAGATCAGTCAGAGACTTCAAAGTGTTCGTTGTAGAGATAAAGCTAATGACCTTGTTAAAGCAGTCGAAGGAATAAGCTGGATAGGTCAATATCACGGTCTCTATTTGCAAGCTAATTCAATCAGCCGTTTCAAAACTTGAACTAGAAGAAAATGATGAGGTTTTCTTTACATGAAAATTTAATTTAATAAGTATATGGTAAAGGGGTAGCTGTGGCATAGGGCGACCTTGAACATATGGTAACTTGCGAAAATCTAGGTCCGTCGAATGTTACGACAAGTAACATTTCAAAAGCTTACGGTAACAAGTACAACTGAGCAAATAGACGAAAGGGATGCCAATGCGAGTGCATTGGGGATAGGGCTGACACTGGAAAAAAAACGATGGAAAAGTTGCAGTATCGTGTTACCGAAGACAGGGTCTATAAGTAGTCGAGCCATAGTTGACGTTCAGATAGAGTACATAAAAGGACAGGACGACATAATCGACGGACGTGAACCGCGCAATACAAAAGATCCTAAAAATTCTAACTTTTCTCTTCAATAAATATACTGAAACGCGCGCTAATTTTTCCTCAGCTAAGTCACATGGCGGGGTCTGCAGTTTAGTTTAAACGAAACACGCCATTTCGTATGTATACGTACCTACTAGAATCTCAAGCGGTAACTAAACAAAGGCCTCGAAAAATGTTGCTCATTTATTTTCATTATAGCTCGATTCGTTTACAGGTACACTACAAGATATATGTAATATACATACATACATGCGTCTATGTAAACTCGTCTAGGCTTGGTCGCCACGTGCTGAAATTAGCCATCGAAAGAAAGGACGCGAGGCCGTCCTGACTTCACTGCGTTAAGGGGTGCTGTTGATTCTTCTACCGCTGTCACTCACATCAAATCGATAATTCGTTCTACGTTTGGTGGAATTGGTTTTCTTTATATTTTTTCTTGCCAGTAAACTTTGCCACCCTTCTAGAACCGGATGATTATGCGATAGAGGAGTGAGGCATGGCAGAGCCCTTTCTTTTGGCCCAGTCGTTTCGAAGAGAAGGGAGCCATAGAAGAGCAGAGGCAGCCGGTCAAGGGCGGGCCCGTAACCTGCAGTACCCAAGCCCGCTCAAACCTAAGGGCCTGAGCCTGAAGTGAGGGTTTGACGAGAGTGAGGGTCGACCGCTTGAGGAAACCAAGAACCGAGACCCTAAACAGTACCACAGTTGCCTACCGGAGGGAAGTCCTACGGCACGCTGGCCACTGACTTTCAGACTATTTCTAGACCGGTTTGAGATTGTTGCATGTCAAAGTCAACCTCAGAAAGGCTGTTTTAAAATTACTTTTCCTTTTACACTCCATAAAGACCATAGCGGTAACATAACGGCAGATAGTCATAACCTAACTGGGATCTCTAACACCTAGCTGTACAAGCAAGGATACAATAATCCTGAATTCCTTTTGTAACTTAACCTCATCCCATGATCAAGTGGAAAAGCTCCTGTATGCTCATTGGCCTCACCCGTTATTCCTTATGTTGAGTATAATCTTACAAAAAAACTCAAACCATAAGCAGTAGTTGCTGTTACAAGCACATATGTGAAACTTTTGACAAAAGCCCAACGATAGGCATATTCATCCTATCAGAATAAATGTACATGTCTATGACAAAGAGATTTGAGGTCAAAGAAGATGCCCAGATAAAACCGGTTTTTCGAGAGTCGCGACTTACAAAGCTGTTTATTTGAGTGTAACAACTGCGTGTTGGGCATTGGGCTTCCGCTCAGATGTTTACGCTAGCTGCCACAGATTCAATGGGTATTTTAGTTACTTTAAAAAGAGAACTATAGAAAAGCGGAATGCCCCGAGCGAATAGGGAACGCGAAAAATTTTAATCTATACAGTCATTTCTTCGATGGTCTTTGATCTAACGGCCGCTTATAACGTGTTTTTTTTTTAACTGCTTCAAGATAATCTTCCTTCTGAGAACGGAACTGCCCCAACATATGCAATTTTTTCTAATATCCGGAGTACCTCTGTACTAAGCAGAATGTATACTCTGTCCCCTCTAGGCCTAACTCAACATACTACAGTTCAAGGTTCGCTGCTGGCCACGGAAGCTTTCTTTGCTGCATTCCTGGGAGCTATCCATTATATGAATATTTCCTGCTGGAACCCAACCTCAACCAGCACCAGCTTTGAGGTTCGTTGCAAGCCATCCCTTAAGAGAGGCGCTCTACAGGAGTACGTAGAATGCAGCCAACCGTTCACCACAGTTTTCAAGTATGGATATCCCGTTAACCGCCCGTTACATTTCGATGCGCCTGTAGCAAAGACGTGCTTGTACGCGTAAATGAATACTTTAGGGGGTACGTTCCTGCCGTTGTTGTATCTCTCGCCTTCTCGTCCGTAGCAGCAGTCGCATGTACTTCAGTGTTGGCGTGACGCATACTGCGAGCCACCCTCAACAGGCAGGCAGCCACCCACAAAGCTATGGAATATGCCAGAGAAATCATCTTCTAATGGGCCAGGGGCTGTGCTTTGTAACTCGTCGACAATGTTAACTGATGAACGCAACAAACAAGTCAACAACAACACCTTATAAGATAAATGAAGCGCATCTGTTCAGTTCGACTTCAGCTGAATTGAACACGAAAGTATAAAGAACAAAATAGAAAAGAACAGCGCAAGTTCAGAGGAAGTTCAGCTTCATTGTTGAGACTGGAACCATTGAGGATTGTGTGTTATTCACTGAAGATGCCTCATATTCACACAGAGTTTCGTCTATGTAATCGAACTCATAAGTTGCACACAAATACAAATTAACAAAGAGTATCTATTTAATGACGCATCAATTGGCGTTGGAAAATTTTTCTGGCTAGCTTTTTGTTCGCCAATCTTTTGCTGCGCGTTCAGATTGAAAGTGCCAAAGCTAATGGCCCGATAAGGGAACGACCTAACTGGACTCCTGGAATCGGAACGTATTGTTTTCGACAATACAATGCAAACGAGCAATAGGATCAGGACTGTTATTAGCAAACCTGCCTTCCTAACTATTTTTCACTACAGTAGTTGCAGAAACAAATCAAAACAGATAACTGAGCCTCTCTTATGAACATGATCATTGTTTTGACTTGCCAATAGATTTAAGTTGATATCATCTTTTTTTGTACGATTGTACGATTTCATGCATGCCGTAGAACGACGCGCTTATACTAATTGAAGGCGTGCATAGCAGACGTCAAGCACATCAGGCAGTCGCATCCCACCCTTGATGCACTTGGACTACATCCGTCAGTGGCACTTGGTATGAAGGTGCACCTTATATGGCATCTACTACAATGCATAAATATCGTCTACAAGCTTATGATTTTTGCCTTCTAAGGTTACCAATATAATTCGTAGGCGGAATACCGGAAAGTTAGTTTGAGACATATGACAAAATGCGATTTGTGACCCTCCTAAGATGTCCTACGAATATCCAGGTTACAGCATCGCTACAAATAATCTGCCGATCAAAGATCCGATTTAGTTCTGGGTCTAATAGCACAAACGTAGCGTATACAGGTGCCGTCTGCGATCGTCTATCGCGATTGTCTTCTGAGGCTTCTGTCCACGCAAGAATCCTTCGAACTTCCAGCTAGCCTCAAACGATCTTTAGACTGCTTGACCTTTGTTTCAACTGCTCTGGTATTACTGTGTCTCCTTCCACTGTCCAAGCAGCTATGGACTGTGCATTGGAGTTTCCTGTCCCAGGAGAGACGTTCCGCATACCCCCAAACCTGTCCCATTTGTCCGTTCCTTAGGTTTCAAGGGTTCCCATATCTCTTGTGGTGGACCCGGCCACGCTAACAAGCTGTCCTTTTTTGCTGCCGCCGCCGCCTCTATCGCTGGCGTCTTTTTCTCAAGAAGGAAGTCAGAACAGCCTGCTGGGGCTATCTCGTTGTTTCTCCGCGGCGGAGACCCTGAAGGGCGATAGAGTATCGTTCAAAGAGGAGCAAGCGAAAGCACAGAGTGTTTTGTGTTCGACTTCCGTGACAACATCCCCTCCTAGTCAAGAATCATTTGTAACAAAATCAGGGCTCCCCGTTTTGTCCTGTCTGGAGGTTGTCGGCAGTGGTGGCCACGCCGTCACTACTGTTTCCCTTCCCTCTCGCCTCCCTCTCTTGAGCGCCCCGACGATTTGTGTCCTCGATCGTTGAGCACTCGTTACTGGTCGGGTTGCCGCCTCTAACTAGCTGAACACGCACACAGCATGGTGCAATATAATGCAAACGGATGTAACGAATACGCCTAGAAAGGAGATAGAGTTGCGAACTCTCGAAGACCAAATGTTAGAGCGGAGCGAAGTCATCGAAAGATTAATAGAGCTGCGTCAACGTCCAGAGCGTAGCAAAGTAAACTAAAAGAAAATGTATGTAAAGTAAAACACGAATTTGTTTGCGATCCAGGCAGTTTGTATTCGAAATCACATAAGCCTAGTTATTCAGTTGAACAGCGATCCGCACAGATTTCCGACCTGGCATTCCCTGAAACACATAAATACATAAGGGTAATACGGAAGGACATTTGCGTAGCCCGAGAAAAGATTGTGGGCAAATTCTCAGAAACGGGATAGGGGACCCAGCACGGAAGACTCCGGGCTTATGGCTAACAAAGCGTCGAGAACGACACACTACCCATACATCCCGGAGCTGTGTCTGTGAAAAGAGCAACTATGAAAGTGATATCGCCGAAGGCGAAAAACGCTGCAGTCTTCACACTCCCCACCGTTTTACCATCTCGATAACTCTCAAGAGAATGTTTACGTTACTCGCAATTGTAACAGTATTGTCTGTCTCGTATCTCATGAACCTTGACCGTGTTTTTCTCCAATTGAATCGTAATCCACTATTGAGTTCACTGTCAAAACGGCGGCAGGTTATACTGGTACGCTACGAGAAATAAAGATGAGGTTGACCTTAACAGTGGCAAGGTACTCCTTCTCAGCAAACTGTTTCAAAAAATCTGATTCTACCGTTGCTTACAGTTGGCCCGCGAATCACGGTAAATCGAACGGATATCGGCGCCATGAAGGGAAATTCAGCGCGTCTCGAGTGTTTTATAGAGGCATCACCGCGTCCGGACGTCGTTTGGTTGGGAGCTTCTGGAGTCCGGCTAAATTCAACACATAATAACGGAAAATACACGTCTACGTTCTCGTCACACTGGTATGGGAGCTCTTAGTGAATGTTGCCATTACTGCCTCATGTCGTTTCTTTTCTGTGACACTTCGCGCCTTAATCTGATCGAGCTTTTTAGGTAAAAGATAGTACTCTAGAAGGAAACGTAAACAAACTAAGCGGATCGCTCTTTTCTACAATCGATTACCGCAGAAACAGTGTTCATTAGTAATTCTAACGCACCGAGCTCATGCCGCTTTCAGGTATACACATCGGTACGAGCTTGTCATCTATAACGTTACAAATCAAGATTATGGACAATATCAATGCCAAGCCAATAATCCATTTGGTAATCGAGAAGCGATAATGCGGGTTTATGGTGAGCTCACGAAAACACCGTCAATCATCATACATAATAATCACAGGAACAGAATATGTACGATCTCGCGTTCGTAGATCTCCATTCAAAGTGCTTAATACATTTATCTAAATAATACGGGATCAATATTACGTATAAATGAAGTGCGGTTACGACTGTGTTTTATTAAGCTCAAATGTGTCGACCTGAATTTCAAAAACATGCTTCTATCTTAACAAATTCATATATTAATCTGTCGATTATACAGGAAATTATTGTCCATCTGTCCTATGCCGGGTGCGAAAAATGGAAGGATTTGAAAGAGAACTCCAAAAGTTCCTTTGTTTGCACAACAGGTGGCGTTGTCGATTCAATAATTTTTTCTACTGCAATAGACTACCCACAACCGATAGCGCTGCTCTATTTGCACTCTCCTTGTCGCTGTCCAGCGTGTCTGGCCCCGTCAAATGGTTGCGCTACGAGCCTATTGGCTAACCCGGGACATTTTGAGTTGCAAGCTATTCGATGATATTACATAGTATTTTAGAATATCTGGCCAGTATTAGGAGCTATGACGCTTAGCTCACTGTCAATTTAGCCTTGGTGATTAAAAAAAGTGACTGCAAAATTAGCCCCCCATTGATATCCTAGGCTTATTGGTCTATCTGTCTCAAATATGCTCCTGACAGTACAGCACATGTACATGTAATTATGAGCATAAGAACACAACCTCGAATTGCAATGCCGTGGCATAAATACGGCCTTAATCTAAAGCATATACCAGCGCTGAGCTTCTGCCAGAGAGTCAGATCGCTGTCAAAAATATCGTTGCATGTAATAAATATATTTGAAAATGCCCTCAAGCTTAATCTAAGCTTCTTCTGCAGTACGTGCGCTAGCAAAAAATATCCTTATAAACAAGTTTTTTTCATGGTACAGATAAAGTATCAATGAATCAGTCAACGAAACTCAACAGCGGTAACTGCAGTTCCAATCACCGTGATTCCCTATCTTAGCGTATCGTTAGTGAGCCACATTTAACATCACATAACTTCATAGGAAAACATACTTCGCTTTAATTTTAGTACCTTCTTTCTACACGCTCGTCATTTCCCCGCCATGCACGCCCCCATCTACACACACATACACCCAAACATCCTGCTTACCACGCATCCTACGTAACGGGATCACGCTGGTGATGAGGATTGTGATCACAATAAGATGGTGATGAATGCTGTTGATGGTAGCGGTGACGTACCACTTCCGTTCTTTGCTGCCTATGAGTTCTCTTAACCCTTAGTTGGAACGTGACCGTCTGTTCCATTCGCCTGTAAAGACTCTCGTCTTCTGCCTGTTTGCCGACCGACAGTCTTCGCGTCCACGCATATTCTCTACGCCCACGCTCGTACACGCTCACACCTGCTTCTTGCGCTTCTCCAGAGGGAATACGCGGACACTTTCTGTTCCGCATGTAAACGTTACAGATCCCATGCCTCGCTGTGTGGTCGGCCAACAAGCGGACAAATGGATGTGAAACTGTGTAACAGCTCTCGTTAAAGCAGCTGTTGTTTTTCGTCATCCTCATCGCCGTTGCTGCTGCGCTCACGTCGGAGCTCCTGGTCCAAGTCGTTATTAGAATCGCTGCCGCTGTAGTGGGCTTCTTCTAGTTGCTTCTATGACGCAATGCACGCAACCTAAAACTCATTGGGTTACTCCATTCTGCGATGTTATAACATCTGCGAACAGTTAACCTAGTTCAACGTGACCAAACGCGCCATCCTACCAAACACGATGCACGATGGCTATCGTTTATTAACGGGGTCGTACGAAGACAAATGTCTAGAAGGTTGGCCGCGGCCTATCTATGAGCAGCCAAATCGTACGAGCCATTGCAGACCCCGGTGGGCATAGTTCACTTTCTGTCTATACCCGATGAGCTTTTCCCGCGCAGACGCAGGTAGAGAAGGCTAGAGGAAGTGAAAATATGAGGGAAAGTGCGGACCTGAATGAAGTGGACAAAAATAGAAGCGGACTCGAACAGATCTGCGTGTTTTCTGCTGTCTACTGATGGCAATATTTAGCACGGTGTTATTTTAATCTTAATGGGGCGCGCTTCAGGTTGCAACGTTGAAGAATTGGGGATCTATATTGCTTTAGCTATGGTCGTTTGTGCATTCTAAACCAATCAAGTATACGACGTCTAGAAAAGAAACCTTTGAGGTGGATGAGTGCAGCGTGTCGATGACAATTACGTCGGTGCAGTGTGCCATATGAGCATGGTAGCAGCGCTAAGCTATCAAGGGAAAGTTAGATTGACTAAATGGCCGATGCACTATAAGCTAAAAATCGTTAAATGTGTTATATTGCACAAAAAGGATATACTAACATCGACCGTGTCTAGACGTTACGATACATCGAAAGTTGTGCGCGTGCAAATAATTTTTCCACAAAACCAATTATTCTGTGCATCCTTCGATCTTACTTTTCATAGAGTAGTATACTTGCTCTAGACCCATGTGTATACATTAGAAAATGGTTTTCTATCGAGGCTGACCGTTTATCTGCTATTTGTTAAATTCTAGAAATCAAACGGCCGACGGTTCGACCCAAGCCTACGCGACCATCCACAACAACAGCCCGTAAGTATTTCTCACGTGTTCATATTCCTTTTTTTTTCGCGGTAAATACGAAACTAGCATGCTCCTACTCGCCTAATAAGTGCGAGGTCTGTGCGAAGAAGGCCTACTAAGATAAAGATGTACGACGAAACTGTGCGTCCGATCAGTTGGCAGCATAATAGGATCCATAGCTTTTACCGAACATTATTGTAATACATAAGGCTTGCTTCAGTGGACATCATGGATTTCCTTCGGATTCTAACAGTTGTCTAATCTGCAATCAGAGATACGATAATTAACATCTGGTAATCGCTGTTGCTATCATTGCGAGAAAAGGCTTGTTCGACGTGACAGAAGCAACGCACAGACTGAGAAAAAAAAAGCACTGTTTGTGGAGAAAGCATTCTTCTATGTGATCCGTACGTGAAGTATGTTGGCACACGTATTTAGAGTTTGTCATAGGGTACGCGAAGAAGTATATATAATAGTGAAGTATATATTATAATACTGGTAATATTTTTTCTCCGATAAGAGTCTTATTAAAACTCGGCATTAAATTATTGAGATGTCCTTTTTTTCTAATCTTCATTAGAATTTTAATTTCCGTTCTAATTAGAGTTACACTTGTGTGTCAATGAACTTTCAGTTTTGCACGTATGCTTGCATGATTCTACGTTTAGTAATTTTCCAGACCTATAGGTTATTGGGGCTTTACGCAATCATTTAATAAGGCATCAGATTTACCGATCGATTGGTACAATTTAAACATTTTCAGTGTCGACATGGCGAAGCACTCCACGATGGTTCGCCCCGATGACCATTGATCCCTTCATTATTCCTGAAGGAATCGGTGAGTGAAATGGAAACAGTCTTACTGAAACCTATTAGTGCAAACACGTGTCTGCTAAAACAAGTGCCGATAGGCCTTATAGAATGTTACTTACACGATAGGTGATCGCGATCGCGTCGATAAGTGCGACGACGTCGGTATTGTAATTGTACCACCCACAGTTTTTAAGTTAGGTGCATGTAGAGAATAATTTTTTGCTTGCAAAGCGGTATAAAGATGAACACTTTATGAACACGCTCTATTTAAATGAGAATTGGTTCGCGGCTTGCAAATAAAATGCCAGTTGAGCCCAGAGATTTGGCTTTCAAAAGCAATCCGTCATGTTTATCGAGGCTGAACGACCGTGTTCGGCCTTGATAAACATGTTGTTCGAAACACTTAGCAGTATCCATACCTTGTTGTGCTGTTCATGTACTGGTAACAATTTGGTCATAGAATATTTATGCAATTTTTTTAATTTAATTTATTCGATACCGCTAATAAAAAAATGTATTCCAATTCAACAAAAAGTACACTATAACGATGTGACGTGGATTAACAGGAAATTGTGAAACGGTCCTTGTAAATTACAATTTAGAATAATTCGCCTTATAACTGAATTTGCAAACATAAAGTCATATTGATTTGGGCGTATTCAACTGGATAAAGATCTGACCCAATTTGAATTAAATAAATCGAGTAAATTCCGTGCCGAATACCTGATTACGCTTAAGATCGACAGAAGTCAAGATGCCGAACCCGCCGATGTAGGGGGATTCCTTTGCTCGCAGAGTTGTACGAAACATAGTCTTAATCAGAGGTCCGGAAGCACGCGTTACTTCAGCATGGTGGATTTAGAGAATAGTCGAGAATACTAGTGAATGGTGCAACACCGAGTCAGCAGTTCTGACAAGCCATCAAGAAGATTCTTGATCTCTAAACAGAGGCTTACCACTACTTAAAGCGGTAACGCTCAGTGGAATAGCTCACCATTATACAGATCGAATAGTGCCTACGAAAGGTGCAGTACAACATACATTTGCAAACTAGAGCCTACACAGTCAAAGTCGCCTTTTTGTCCGTGGGCATTCTGTGGACGAGCAGTAGTAGGCAGGTGCCTAATTTATCTATGTAAAATGGGCATTAACATCAACACAAGGCACGACAACGTAGATCGGAAACAGGAGCGGTGGCCGAGCCTAAACAATTACCACGACAGCAGCCATTATTGGTGTAACAGAGATTACTTAGTAGTTAGAAATTGTCGTCACCAAAATGAAGCACTGGATGGAGCATAGGAGAACTATCTGAGCAGATGAACTAAGTGGTATTTGGGGAACAGAAAAAACACTGTAAACCTAGGAATCTGATTACTCCATGACCTCGGGTAGCGTACGGCAGATCAGTCATGTAGAAGGACGCTAGCCTGATTACTGTTGATACTTCAGGATATTTATTACCGTACTAAATGTCCTTTCAACAGATTGTAACAGACACGCACATGCGAAGAACTCGAATTTTTCACCTCGAACTTGTGAACGGGGGTTGAAAAAAACAGTGAAGTGATACAATTTGCGCTAAAATAAAAATTGAGTTCGTTTGTATCGACCGTATAAACCACGTTCGTTACATTCCGTATAGCAAAGGAAATTCGGAGTGTTCTGCCATCTCAATTCACAGCTGGTTGCACGATGTGATGCATTCGTAGCCAAAACAAGGAAAAAACTTAGGCTCATTTTTGAACCGCTGTTTGGCTGACGCTATTCGGCTCAAGCGGAAGGCCCAGGGGGACCTTCATAAAGAGTCCACCCTTTCTGCCTTCATTTCCTACCATCTCTATCGTCTCCTCGTGGGAAGTGCGCCCGTATGCTTCCTTCCCTAAAATATCTCCCCCTTTATCCTACAACCGGTTCATCCTCCAGCCATTCTCGCTTGCATCAGATTGGACCCTCCTGGGAGAACAGGGTCTGATGCAACAGAATCGCCCGTCCGGCTCGCTCCGTGTGGGGCTGTTCTCGACGGTCGTCGGCTCTGTGGTGTGATACTACTAACATACTCCGGCAGGCATCAGCAGCAGGTAGGGTCAACTTGCTATATCATGTGCGTATAATAGTATGTATTTGTCCTGGTGCGGTGTGAAAAAAGTGCGAAACAGTGGAGGAACGACTGGCGATGTCCTGCGATGGGAAAACGTGGAAAAGCATCCAAATTTCTACTCGAATACAGTACTTATGCTAAGACGATGAAGATTATTAACGAAGCAGACAGAAATTAAGACAAGTTTATGCTTTTTTCATATATATACCTAAGATTTTGTCTACTGCGTACTAAGATTGTGTCAAAAAGCTTCTAACTTGTTTTAACTAATTATCACAACAGTTGGTAAACTTAATACCGATGACGCGATAACGCAAAGATCCGTACGTATTTTTTTACAGTTTAGATTAGGGCTAAGAAAGGGGAAGCAGCACGTAATATTATTATAAGCTAGTTTTCTGAATAAATTGAATCAAACACTGTTAAAACCAGCAGTAGCTAAATTTTTACATAACCCAATATAGCTGTCATAGCTAGCCTGGTCGAAAGTTTCTCAGGGATAAATCAATTTTGCTAAAGAAAACGACTTAGAAAGCCATGGTCTTAGTATGCAAATATTTTTGGTGCGCCTCATGATTTGAGGCTTTTTGAACGTTTCTTACGTCGTTTAAAATGATCCCCATATAACAAATTTACCATGCCGTCGTTTGACCAGTACAAATGCAATCATAAGTTTTCATTAGCTGGACCTGGACCACTTTTGCCGTGTTATGTTGGGCTTACTGAGCCAACCAATGTTTAATATTCTCAATGACACAAGTAAATATTAGCTAGCTTTAGCTTATTTTCCCAGTCTTCCGGCATGAGTACATGCCAAAAAGGTAGGAAGAGATTTGCGCAACCCTAAGGTTATCTAGTTAAAAGAAACAGAATCGGTTCTCACATGTAGAAAGTTTCGGGAACAAGCGGAATATATGGAAGCAATATATGGAAGCTGTGCGTGTGTGCCATGCACCTAACAAGCGCTTCTTCCTCGGATTCATATCGCTGATTGGGCATCCGCATTTACTTGGGTCAACAGGTGGAATTACGCTTAGCGTTAATTTCGACAATGTCGAGATTGCGGTACGAGTGCATAGGCAATTATAACGCAGCTTATATAGAATTGGCTAATAGACGGTTACATGTGTATACCTCAACAGTGTTGAAGCGTCGAAAATGTACAGTGCATACACTTAAATGCACCGGAACTAGAGGCATTCGACAAACCCTTAGAGAAACACCTGTATGACCAATTGTGCGAACCCTTGACTTGAAGAACACGTCTGCTCGTAAAACATAAGGTTAAATCCAGCTGAATTTATTTGAAGATACAACGTGTATACCACAAATATTATGTGACGCGGTAGCTAGGACTTGTCTTCGTTTACCAGGCCCGTTCATTTTTTTCATATGTCATATGGTTTCAAAAAAACATCACTTGAAAATTTACTGCAAAAACTGGGGTGCAAAACAACAATGGACTAGAAAATACACTTTAATAGTATGCTAGCGCGAAAACATATCAACCTGGCTTATTTCTAATTTTCCCTATCTCACGTTTCAGAAACAGCAAACGAGGTTCCAAGAGAAGATGGATACTCTCACGAGACAAGCCGAAAAGAAGGCAAAAGTAAGTATTGTCTATAGTATATCTGATTTTGCTCGACAGCCTAACTTACAAATCAAGCTGGGACTTACAATAAAGTGAATAATTCAATGGGAATAGAAGTTGCGCCCTATTTTTACGATTGTAAAGGACCTCGAATGTAAGAATCTCCAGTTATTGACACGTTGGCCAATTAAACTCTCTTACCTAAAAAACGATGAATTGCTGAAAAACCAGACTGTCGGCAAGCTGACTTTCAAACAGCGTCTAATTAGTCATAACTCTACATCGTTGTTACATTTACAGAAGCGTGTATTTAAGGTGATTGGATTTAATGCGATGCATGCTACCAAGTCAATTTTAATACTACTTCTAGTTCACCACTAAAGATGCGAGATTGAGCACGAAACACGGCTAGAGCCTCTTGTTCCCCTATGGCAAAACGTTGCCTTCAACATTTTGTTGTTATTTCTATAGCTGGGACCGAAAAAGGACACTCTACTTGTTCTGGAGCCTTGTCCAGTTTTCTTGTCACAGGTTCGTATAGACTATGACAAGTCGATAAGTCAAATTGTCAAACAAAGCGCATATATACCGTGTGCTAATTTTCAATAGTGATAAACGACCTGTTAGGTAGGACGTCGGCAATTTTCCCACTTTAGCTCCGACTACACCGCAAGGCCGTCTCTGAAAGGAAAGAAGGGCCGACTAAAAAGAAAACCGGTCTTATCAGGTCTCGTCCAGATCCTAGCCTGTTATTTTCAACCAGTTTCCTGTCTCTCGACTTCATTTAACTCACGTACCTGAAAAGGACACGTCCACCTACTTCTCCAGGCAACGCTTTCTTACCCGACTATGAAACCTTTATCCATTGTACCGATATATATGGTGTAGTTTACACGGAAAGTAGTCCTGCCAAGTAAGTACCGTGCGGTGCCACTTCTAGGTTTTCCACTTTGTCTGCTGCTGCTCACCCATACTCTTGTCTACAAGGATCAGTCTTCGCTGACGAGTTCGCTTGGCTTGCTTCGTCAGACAGAGAAAAGCATAGCAAGTAAGCAATTCTCTACATCTATACAGGGCTAAGCAGTCGCTATCCACGCCGTCGAGCGACGATGACTGAGTCTCTGAGGTACCGAAGCCTGCTCCTTGCTCTCACTCTTCACTCTTTTTGGCCCTTCTTGGTGGCAGTGGTAGCCTCGACAGGAACGATTGCCGGTGAGGTGGCGGAATCGGAACGCGTAGCTGGACAAATTTTCCACGTCTTATATGTCGCGGCATCTCTGTCGACGGCACGGCCGCAGTGGTAGGAGCGGTATAGAAAAATCGTAGCCGAAGAAATGACAGTAGTAAAAAACAGAGAAAAGTAGACGACTACGAAAGCTGCTGATCCTGCTGCCCCAACGAAAGGTCTTTCCTTTAGAGGAAAGGGCAAACATGGCGAAAATCGATTACGGGAGCAACCGCAAGAACTCCAAATGGAGAAACGAGAGTGGACGACCGAGTTACCCAGTCGATTGAGCTGCTGGCTACTGCCGGCCTGTGCTATGCGCCTGCTGCTTCTATGACTATTTTGGCCGGTCCACAAGTAATCTAGTGCTTTGACGGAGGAACCTCTTGCGTGGCAATAGCGAATCGGAAACGGGAGGTAGAAGAAGAACCTGGGCTATTCGCAAAAGGGCCGCGAAGAAGGAGAATCGAATTATGTGGTCAACTGTTGCAGGGCGAAGTTTGAAACGTAGGCGGTAACTAAATGCGTGTCTGCCGTACATCCTATGTAAGGAGATTCCAATTTAAAGATAGAGTCTGGGTCAGAACTGGCCCTAGAATAAGTTATAACGTTACCGACAGTGTAGAAGTTTGGTAGAATTATGTGACTACTGGGCACGTGAGACTCTCCATCTGTGCGTATTTTAGAAAATCTGCGTAGCAACCCGATTGAGAGTCCCGATTAGCGTTTTCAATAGTGTCCGATTGCCTTATGGCACCAGAAGGGGAATAGAAAAGCGAAAAAAAAGACCTTATTGCTATGAATTTGAGCGAATTCACGCAGAAATTCATATTTTCAGAACTCGTTTCATTGTTCCAGGAGCACCACCATTCCATGTTCGAGCTTCCGAATCTTCAAAGCAAGCTTCAGTGCTACGGCTCCCTGCTTTGCTTTTGATTGTATCTTTGTTGTACATATTGAACGCCTAGAGATATAGAAAGAATACGTGATACTATTATGTTCATTGTGAAAATAGTGATGGTAAGTGTATCTACTATCTACAACTGTCTAGCTAGAGCTGCGTACACTTTAAATGGTTTATCCGCTGTTTTTACTCTTGGCGCTGAAATTAAGCGATTTCCGAACGTGGAAGATCGTTTTTCTAACGGAGGAATCTGTTCTCGGCTTAGCAAGCACCGCGATCGGTTTCCTAAACGCGTCAACAATGCGAATTTATATACTTCGTTACCTTGTCTGCCTGAGAAGTGTTTTTCCTTTTGTGGTACACGAGGAAAGCGACTGACAACATATGATACATAAGAACAAGAGAGAAAATCACGAGGGCCCACTGTTCAAAGTGGGAAAGGAACTTTTTCTCTTGCAAGAGATTTCGGCATAAGTTTCTGCTCAATGAGATACCTTCGTGTCGCTGTAACGGCCAGCGACAACTACTAAGCTTTAGCAGCTACGAAAGCTACTGGGTTTGTGCGAGTTGTTCTTGGGGTACAACGACATTAAAAAACGAAAAATTTCTCAGACGAACACGCACCAGACGCTGATCAAGTAATAATGATAATAATACCAACAGCAACGAAAGCTTAGAAAGGTCGTTACTTCCAGAGCACTCCAGCCCAGTTATCAAAACGGGATGCTCACCAAACAAAACAATGCACAGTTAGAAAAACGAAGATTACTATGAAAACAAATAATATTAAAAATATTAATACTATATGTAATAATAATAGTAAAAACGGTGACAACAGCGTACTAATAAGGCACTTATAAAACAATACCGCTGATTTTACCTAACCATTAAGGCTACTGATATTCCTAGTGCTAATGCTGCTGTTAATGCCAAATACTATTCTAAACGGACGTATGGGCCGGCGACAGATCTGTTTCTCATACAGAGGAAACAGAGACAGGAGAGGATAGGACAGAGAGAGATCTGGTGAGGGTGGGAAGATTCTGAAAGCTTTTCGATACGGATTATTAATATGCGCGCACGAGCTACATACATGTAAGTAAAATAAGTAAATACGTATTAGTAGACGTTCCGCTAGTCAGCAGCGATTAGCGACATTTATTGTAGTAAAAAAAAAAAGTACTCAATCGATTAGTGATGATAACAACAAGAACAACAACGATGTGTCAGTGGTGGCGATGACGATTATGATGATGTATTGATCCCGAGAAGTCGCCAGGCTAATTAATCAACGATATGATATATTATAAATTATTGGACGAAAAGAAAAGCCCTGCGTCCTGGAACCGTGAAAAGGAGATAGGAGCTCGGTAAGGAGACGATAGAAAAACACATAAAAATAACGAAGCTTAGCAAGTGTTGTTTTTGACACAAAAACAGACGAAAACAAATTAAAAATATGACAGGGAACGAGAAAGATAAAGGGAAGAGGAGCGAATATCCTAAGGGGGTAATCGTTTGCCAAATGTTTTCTAGGTCTATTTGTTGGGTAATTTTGTATTACCAGCTATCTATATTGAGTAGGACTAGTAGCCCATTTCGTAGGCTTCTAAAATGAGGAACGAATTTTGTCGACCACAGAGTTGTCAGCAATGCGATAGGCCCGCCTATTGTCTTCCATCTAGGCGTACTTGAACACGAACATAATCAAATTTGATAAGACAATAACAAACGCAGAACACGGCAAGCATATCAATCCAGCGTCAAGTATACGCATCTGTCTCGCACTTATGCCACTTGCTGCGCGTGTTTCGGTTAGCGTTTCTCAATATAAGAGCTAATTAATAGATAGATATGGAATATATTACGCGCTCGGGTCATGGGCCCTGCGTCCGAATATGAAACACCCATTAGAAACAGACGTTTAATTGAATCAGCTGAATGGGCACCTGGCTAAAAGAGCACCTTCAAATCCACATTCTAGAACACTTGATAAAATCCCCATTGGACATTACCTGGCCATTTGTTGCTGCACGAATATCGCTTAGTTAGGCTGTTTATCGCCAGGCAACATTGTCGTCAATCGAAGTCGTATGACTTCGGTTGTCATGGATCGCGTCCTGAACCTCGATCGGCATACTCAAATTATAGTGGTATAACGCTACCTAATACTGTCAAGCATATCAGCCTAACTCGAATTCAGCGTCGTTGGCCAGTTTCACTTTCAAGCCGCTAATGAAGATCTTGAACGAGAAAGGTCAGCCGGTTAGCGCATAAAGGCTTCGAGTACTATCCTATACCAGAGACCTTTTTACGGATATGTGGAAAAAATGAAGAAATGTTCCAGGATCTTTCTGGCGCCTGCTCATTGTCGGAAGGACCCACCGGAATCGTGCTACTCCAGCATAAGTGTGTACAGTGTTTTACGTTAATGTAAATTATAGTCGTCGATGTGTCCGAAAAATTATGTGGGAAGATGAAGGGTTCTGCCCGTGTATTGTCGGAGCACGCATCAAACCAGACAAGTACTCTGTAAATTAATTAAACAACTAATAATGATATGAACATGATATTAACAATGATGCTGACATAATAATCGTGATGATAATGAAACAAACGTAAAACGAATCTAATAAATATTGAAGATAATACTTCACTGAATCTTCACTTCAAGTGGTATAAATGACAGTTTAGTAATTAGTAATTAATGATAGTTGTTCAATTACTTAAATAAATGTATATGTTTTGGGGAGGGGCATAGAATTGGTTAGCCGTAGCCAATCTTCCAGCGTGCGTCTGCTGGAATCGCTGACACGGCGTTGAGCTTTGCAAAAAAATAAATTATTATTTCATTTTACTTCACCTCTACCTCGCTATAAAGGACCTATATCTAATACCATAAATAGGGGGCCGTTATTTTTCCAGCAGGTACTCGCCAGTTACTGCCGTGCTATAAGGGTAGTACCGTGCGGGCACTTCATTGATACCAACCGATAATTGAGAAATAAGTAGCTGATATTCTATATGGTCTTGAAATTTACTAGGTAGCAGATTTTAAAATCATGTTTTTCTACAAATCATATAAATATTGAGCCGTATGCATTTCGCCATAGATAAATTAGTATGTAACGAACTTGCAGTAATTATCCTCCAGTACACGCAATGATAACACCCTACAGGGTTCAAGATCAGCCAGAACAGAAAAATGTGCGGAAACGCCAGTCTGCCAGGACTCTTCCTGTGCATAGTGTTGGTCTATTGTAGGACATATAAACTTAAAACCGTTCATTCTTTGTCGTTCGACTCTGAGAGCACTTTCGATACTAATCGCTTTGGCTGCTTCATCCTTGTTTGCTGCGGTGCCTGTTCATCTAGACTGAATATGCCATCTACGACACAAATAAACGTTGGTACGTCCTATAAGCAATGCTCTATCTCGTAACGCTCCTTCGCCGTAGTTACTAGATGAAAAAAACACATCTTTATTGCTATAGAATAAACCGTGGATCAATATATTTTATTCACGGCAAAGACGTGCATCCTCGTAATTAAGTCTTTCATCTCGCTATAGCAGAGCCGTGTCTTGATCGGGTTTACAACGGCAAAAAATCATCGTCAAGATCATCGAATTCGACTTCTGCGGGCATCGAGGTTTCTTGGGCAACTTTGGACTGAACCGCTTCGGCAGATCCAATGGATCGTGCCGTTCCTTGAACCATTTTTCTGCGACGGCCGCCGCTCGTGCGGCCGCTTTGAACCCGTGCCTCTTTTAGCTTTTCAACCTTCTTCAGGCGAGTCACATATTCCTCGTATTCGACTAGTTCTAAATCGCCGGTGATTTTTACCAGCATTTTCAAACAGTCAGTGTTCTCAGGAAATTTTCGATGGACATCTGCAAGTGCAAATGAGAAAAAATCGACGAATATTAAAAGAGCACTGTCCGTGACTTATTCGAGCCATTCAGGTAAGGATTTAAAATCGAGAGACCTTTCTACAATACCTATTTTTGGTTATTTACAAAGTGGCTACAATTTGAGTCAAAGTTTAATTTTCTTTCCTATATTGTTATCATTTATTTAGTTCTTGATAAAATATGTCACTGTCTTTCTTGTCCTACTTTCATAGCAACGAAGAGCGTCATCAAATTGTCCCGACCGCATATAGCAGGATCCAATGTATAGTGGCCATTTAGGTTCAGCAGGTTGCACAAGCTGAGCTTTTTCAAAGCAGCGGACAGCCTCATCGAAGGCGTGCATTTCTGCATGATAGCCTCCCAGCCATTCAAGAGTTGACAACGATGAAGGATAGTGGCGCACAGCTTCTCCATGATAGTGGGCCGCTTGCTGGATATCATCCATCTGAGACTCGCACACAGCGCCAAGTTTGTTGAGGAGATCTGGATCACTGAGGAGAAGAGTCGATGCCTGATGATACCTGTATTACAGATTTGAATTGCATTGCGTTATTCACATTAATAGCTATCTTGTTGCTACTCCTTAGCCAATAATTCTAACAGTAAATCGCCTATTTTATATTTACTTTATTTGCTCCATATATGACGCCACTATAAAGCCATCGTTGTGCGGAGATTTAATTAAGCTACTCAAAATTCAAATCAGGTCATAGCAAGAATTCGTACCATTCCATACTTTGATTAACATCCCCTGCATACTCGAACTGTTGGCCTATTTTGTAAAGCGCTTGTGGATAGAGGCCAACGATAGCCTGAAATTTAAGGAAGAAGTCCAGTGCCTGCTCGCGTTCTTTTAGACGTTCGCATGAAAGACCAATGTTATACAGCGCTTCAACACAGCCTGCTTCTACTTGCAAGGCTTCGCCGTAATACTCCTTGGCTTGGCCGAAGTTACCTCGACTAAAGCAACAATTCCCTGCCGATGTTAAACGAAGCAGTAATACGTGTGATGTAGTAACCTAATACGCTTGCTTGCCTTTGGAATATGCCCCTTACGTAGAACCAAAGAATATAATAAACTGCTGTGTGCACCGTATAGTTTTAATTGGAGCCGTCTGAAATTGCGATACTGTCAACTGAAATGACCAGATATCGATACGCTTTGTCGTAGCAGAGCTATCGTAGACAAGAACTCGTTTCTGAATCTGGAGGAGCGTCTCTCCAATAGACTCACCCAGTTAATATCAAATGGTACTCACTGCTAGCCAGACTTACCTTTGTTCACTAGCGCAGCTGCGTTATATTTGTCGATGGCGATGGCAGCGTCAGCATACCTTGAATAGACATTATAATTGACGATCGAAATATCTGCACGACATATAGAATCTATTTTACTGGGAATAGAGACAGTGATAAGAAAAAAACAACCGCTTACATGTCGATACATACTTTTCGGCCTGTCTCTTGTCCAGCATAAAATAGAGGTATGAGAGATTGTTGGCCGCCGATACGTTCCGGTTATCTCTTTTTTCGAAGCTTTTCAGTGTTTCGATAGCCTTGCCAAATTCTCGCTTGCGCAAAAATGCCGTTGCTTTATTAAGCTCAAGATCCGACGCCAGATACGAGAAGTTCGTTGACGCCTTCATCTGCTCGATACACCAATCATAACCTTCAGCTGCTGTCGGGAAGATGACCTATTTAGGCGCACAGTAGTAGATATTGCGGGCGTAAGCATTAATCACGTGTGTTTTTTACCCTTTACCTAACATTCTACTTCGGCTCTTCACCGTGTTGCGATAACGAGCCAAAAGACAGTAACTCTACAATAAGAAGAAATAGCTTGGTATTTAAGAACAAAATTAACTCAAACATAATGAAAAAAACCGCAAACAAAATTCCTTATACCCAGACCTTTATTTTTCCCAGCACCATACTAACGTCTCACGCAACTATAGTAAGTCGAATGTCGCTAGCCGCCGCCTTCAAAATATCTTTGTCACACAACTGTATACTTGTTTATCTACCGTTCTAGTTTTTGTCCCATATTTGTGTTTTGATATTGTACAATAGCTGGCGCAGCCAATGAAGCCTTTGTAAACAAATCTATAACGGACATCTTAGTATATATCTAGTAGAATAGGTGTATTAACCGTGATAGGCAGAAGTAACTCACAGGTGTAATGAGATTGGCGGCCGTCATGATAGTGAATTCGGTATCTCTCTTCCGTTTTTGTTCCATTTTATGAAGGAGATCATTTCGTGGTGGACCTCCAGCCAGCTCTGTCGCTGCAACCGTTAACATAGCTTCCTGAACTACCTGTATTTCTATCTTTGGTCAATATACAGTAAGTTGTTGCAGTAAGAGAACTTTTATTAGTACCCTTTGATACTATTATATAATACTGGCGCAGATTCTTATCAACCTATGAGCTTACTTCACTCCTAAGCCCTCACGAAAGCCATTTAGACAACGGCTAAACGAATACGATAAACAGATCTTACGTTCAAGCGATGCGTTATCGACATCCAAGAGTTTAATGAAGGCCCTTTTCATTTTGTCCACATCGCCGAGCATGTAGTGACACAGAATCAGGTGAAGCGCTGCTTGAATGTCGCATTTCTCTGCCATGATGTACTCGAACGACGTAATAGCGTCAGCAAATTGGCCCATTTTAACGAATGCAGTACCGATATTCTTCAGAATTTTTATTCGTAGATCCTTCTGCATATTCGGTACCTGTGGTATTGTTATCATACATAGAGAAAATGTTCAGCACTGTTTAATCTTTGCGCATCGGGTTAATGCCTTTTAACGTCATCATCATCATCATCCGCACTAAAGGCCCATTACACGCTAAAAGCTTAAATAACTTGATCTTTAATGTGGCAAATAGAATCAACGCTAAACGAGTATAAGTAATCTGTTTGGCTAATGCAGAAATGTAAATGTTCCGAGAACTCGTACTACCGCTATGCTCAACCTACGTCTCAAGGGGACGTGGCTGAGCATAGAAAAACAGCATTTTGCTCTTGTTAACATGTTCTTTAATGGACACCCCCGTATGGGGGTAGGTCGACGTAAGAAGTATAGAAATTGCACTAGTCTTCGATATGAGCTGTTGCCATTAATTCATTAAATTACAAAAATTATCTCGTTGTCAGTCGAATATCAATTTTTCTACCTGAGTGCTTGTAGCTTGATCTCCTGTTCAGCTTGTTGTCGTCGCTTCAGTAGCATAAACACGCGAGAATATAAAAATCTTGTTTTCTTATTTGCATAACCTCAGTGCCCAATACAAGCTGCAGCCCTTTGATATTGTGGCGTTGACGGTAGAGTTGAAGTGCCTTGAAGTGCCTATACTAAGGCAAGGTTCGAGTCCCCACTATGCCATATAACCGTTACACAATTTAACTCATGTGGCATGAGAATGAAAACTTACCTGGTCGAGTGCCATGCGATAGAACTTCACAGCCTTTGGAAAGTTTTCCTGCATGAAGCAGATGTTTCCCATGTTTAGTTTAAGACGACCAATATTGGAGAACGCGCGGTTTTGGACGATGCCCTGTGAACAAAGTGAATACCGCTGTTGTCATGTGGTGCAAAATAACCTTCATTATGCGAATCTTTCAACTTGCGATACATAAAGTTCAAGAAAATAAATCGAAACTGTTTCCCGTCATCCCTGCGATCCAAGTATCCTGCCGCACAGAAGATATAAACGTGCATGCAGTTGAGATTTCAGCATTGTTACCAGGTTTATCGCGCCTATAAAGTGAGTATACTGAAGGCAAGAACTGTTGACGAACCTGATAGATTTCAAGAGCTTCGCTGAGCATATCGGCATCGGTGTACCTAAGCGCCAGGTTCAGGCTCACACAGAAGCTCAGTTCCATGTTCGCTGGACTTCCCGCTAAAATCTGCTCTCGCTGCTTGGCCAACTGTCGGTCACGTGACGCGGCCTCTTTTGCCTGCCACCAAAAGTACCGCATTAAAAACGAGGACATAGAAAAACTAGAGGATAACTAACCTAATTGTCCGAAGACTGCTACAGTATGCACCATTAGCCGATAAGGTCGACCTCCAGTAGGCAACGTTCAAATGCGGGTTGGCTTAATAGACGTACACGCTCCGCATTTAGCTCTACATTACGTCATATAAACTGAATAACTTATACAATCACGGAAGCACGCGTTTGAACGAGTTAGCTGTATTAAGGTCTGCGTGCAATGTGCGCGAAGCTGTTCACGCCTAGCAAAATGGCGACATCTGCGTAGATGCTATTAGTAGCGGCTAAATACATATCTATTTATTATTCTGTATCCCTACTATAAACTTACGATAAGAGAATTTGTCTACCTTTTCAAGCGCGAGCTTAAAGTTTCGCTTACTGGCATCTCTAACACTTTCCTCAACCAGTGAGTTGATACACGCTTCCATGTCTTTAATTCTCTCCTTAGGATCATTTTCATCTTTCAACTGAAGTGTTACAATGGGTGAGCTCTTGGCTTGGTTAAGAGGGTCGAATACACCTACATTGGTACCGCGAATGCCTGATGCCCCGCTCTGGAAGCCGGCACCTCGAACAGCCGTCACGGGCCGAGCTATCTCACCGCCTGTGACTGGTCGCCCATTGGCGGTGCCTACTAAAGTAAAAGACCACCCATCAGTTCCAATGTAATTAAGGCAATAGCAAACCACAAAAAAAGTACCAATTTCACTCAAGTCGAATTGTCTTGATTAAAGACTTCATGAAACGAACTAGGTTGTCACGTATCTGTCTGCCATTCGCTGCCAATAGTTTCCTACGAACCCTACAAAAAACAGCAATATTTTTTATTGAATTTCATCGGATGTCAGATGTACAGATGCGTTGACGCCTACGACGCAGTTGTACGCTATACGAGATTTGCAATCCAGTGCCACATTTATTCTCAACACATTTGCTGTCATAATGAAGAAACTGAGTTACCACTGCGTAAAACAAAGCCAATGACTTAGTTTTCATAGATATTTTCTTGTACACACACACACACACACATACTACGCGTTATTGATGAACGCCAAACGAAACTGGTGGCTCATACATAGATGACGCAAATGTGTCACAATGTAATGGTACATATAGTACAACGTTGAATGAATCTGCACGAAATATCAAATCAAGTTTATCTCCACTCTGGATCGCATTTAACTGTGAAAAAGCTGAGCTCCTAAAAAACAAATCACTACAGCCCGTTTAGTTAGCAGAAGCAACCAAGTTCGACTATTTAACTAAATTTTGACAAATTAATCCATCAGTCAACATTCGATATAAAATTGATAATCTCCACACAGATATATAACATCGTCAATGTGTACATATGTATGCGAAATCTATTCATAAAACACAGTATCGCCAAAAGCAGATATAGTTGTTTAGGGCAAGTAGACCTCTTGTTTGGCTTTGATGTGCGGGGTTAATGAGGTGCTCAAACTTGTCCGCATAGAAGCTATAGTTAGTTTTAGCGGTAACAGGAGTTTGGTTGATATAGCTAGTCCTCTTTTATAGTCATTGAAACAGCGCTATATTGCGTTCAAGTTAGCCAATTTTTAAGAGATATACGTCATTTTACGAGGTGATATTTGAATAAAGAAGTTGGATAGCCGTGAAACTCATAACAATGTCACCAACTGCTTTTCCAATCTCGAGAAAATTCTAAATCTTGTAGAAATGATACAAGGGTCTTAGGGTTAAGGTGTGTCCAGATACCCTTACCCCCCCGTCGCATTGCCGCACTGCTTCGGGCGGTAGCCAGCCGGAACGCCGTAGTGCTGCCAGACGATGTTGGGGGTCCCCGCCCATGACTACTTTGGACAGCCTGCTGGAAAGCCTCGTCGACGGCTAATGTTTGAGTGTCAAAAGCTGGGTGAGCTTCCTCATCGAACCCGGCGTAGAGATCCTCTTCTGCATCGGCTCGGCGTAACATCCTTCTCGAAACGAACATTAACCTTTCCAAAGACGCTTACCTCAAACCAGACAATTTTGTGTATGTTTTTCACCTTAGCTATTCCAAAATCATTGATCTACTTCTTCTGTATCATTATGGCGACTAAATGTCGTTTAGCGAAACACATTTCGGAACCGTAATTTCTCTTCTGTATAGTTAAGACATCATAATAGCACGACTGTTATAATCTTCACTGAAACGAATAGCCAACTCAAACTGAAGATTACGAACGGGAGTGCTACAAAATGCCCATCTGTAACAAAGACGCAGCGCTTCACGCTACTAGTTTCTAACAAATTAGGCCCCGCATGCCTATTTAAGTTTAGCGTAAGCTAAATCCGACTAGAGGATAGTAAATTAATAGTTAAACCAGTATATGGATGTTTGCCTATTTTGAGACACCTATAGAAAATATTATAAATACGACGTGTCGTTAGGTTTACATCGTGTCTGATTTGCAATAAAAACCCATTTAATTTGCTTTAACTCTTGCACTTGATTCATGCGTGTAGGCGTTGGCTGTGACCTCGGTATGATTCAAACTCTAGTCGGAACGTTATCTTTAAAAGGGTTTTATTCGTGGATGCAAAACTTCCACCAGCGCAAACAACGTTTTATATTTTTACTTACTATTGGTAATTGTCGTACGGCGCAAACAATAAAATTATTCCGTTGTGCTAACTAAATTAACTGAAAGCGTACGTTTTCGCCATGACGAAGACAATTGATCACAGAAACTCTCTACTGCTCACGTGGTGTAAAACGGCAGCTCCACAGACAGCGCTCCCGACTGCATTATGATTCCCACAAATCCAGAATCCGATCTGTTTAGAAGGTGGCAGCAGTTGCTATGGCAACTTTGCCCTCATCATGTTCTCGAAAACTATGATTCTCTTGCCCATTGTATGGCGAAAAGTAGCGACACGCAATGCTGACTTGTACACTAGGAACACTACCCGCTATTTTAAGACTAAAATATGAATCTTAATAGTTAATTAATAATTCATCCGATAATTTCTTTCTTTTTGTCTTATCAAGAGCTTAACTAGTTAACCACGCGCATAGCGGTTATCCAACAGAACAACTAGACGCCATTGTGCTACCTTGCGGCACTGAAGATTTTGTATTTTGCAGGGAAAAAACGTTTATGATATCTTGTAGTAAGTCAGAAATTACTGGTACTAGCGTATACGATCGTCCTTGGGCAAACAGGACAGCCACCACGATGCGTTAACGATATTTATAAATCTCGCCATTAACTTTCGCATCGGATATAGGCTGGAAAATGCGATCTATTACGTGCTCTTCTTATATATGGTTTTTGTATAGACGGAATATGGAAACAGTTGTTTCTTTGTACTTTTATCGTACAAACATGAAAGAACGATGGGTTGTGCAGCGCACAGATGGGCCAGATTCCCATAGAGGATAAATACGAATGAGAACGAATTGGTGGTTTTAATCATTTTTTCCATAGCTAGTCGAGACATACGTGATCTTTAAGCTTTTAGCGTTTCAAACGTTACAACGTTGACTGCATCAGAATTTTTATAGAATGTCAATGAATATGTCCCTTTTACTGGCCAGTTATTTATAATTTATTTGCAAAACGTTCCATTGTTTATTAGGAAACGCTTGGTTAAAATGAGGTAATAATGTATCTACAATTAATAAAGACATCATTTTGATCTTTTAGTTCTTACTTAGATGTTAAACTTTTGCTAACTAAGTCTTTGTAGGACTTTTTATGTCCAACCAATTAAAGGAAACTATGTAACAAAAAGATTTGGAAGGAAAACCTACTAAAGCCCAATCTGCCTAATTATCTATTCCCAGATGGTTGGCACTCGAATTGTACGAGCGTATCGGGATTCGTGTTACGCAACGTGAATACATTATTTTTGTTAGACTTTGTTTAACTCTAGGCTATTTTCGATTAGATCAGCTTTACAATATAATGTAAAAGTTTTTTGGAAGACCAACCGCCGCCATCAAGATGATTAAGGGTCCCAAGTAAAAAAAAAAAACGATATTATAGCTAAAATCTTGTGAGCCTATTATAGCGGATCTAGTTGTGATCACTTGTTAGCTTAAAAATGTTTTAGCGCTTCTAAGGCAAATTACCAAAACCTAAACAAAATCATATGAAAGGAGGTAAGCAGTTTTTCTCCGAGAAAAGTCCGAGAAAATTATTAATGTTGCTACTCTCATGTACACACTATCCGGGTAGCAATTGTTATGGAAACCGGCATTATTTTCGTGGCAGTGAATAGTCCTCAAAGAATACACACTCTTTAAATGGAAAGCATTCGCTTAAAATCCACTATTTTGGAAACAATTCAGAAGAACTAGACTTGAATTTATTATTACTAGACACCAAAAATAAATTTCTCAGAGTATTTGCGACTCTAATGACGTCCTCCAGTTGTACTGCGAAATCTATATATTGTTAGATATAACATTAATCAGTTCCATACTATTATAAAATGGGTACAAAGAATAGATAAATGACCATTCATCCTTGAAAACTAAACAGAATGTTGGCCATTACAGAGCAAAAGACTGTAGCGGTTGTGCTACGTAATTCAACAGTCTTATTTAACAGACTGACGAAAAAAGATTTGAAAAGAAAATAGGAGCGTTGAAAGTAATTTTTTTACCTTTGAAGGCTCGAAGGAATCAGGAACGAACTATAAGCAAGGATCCTAAAATGTCACTAGTACGTAAAAGCAGACCCCCTTTTAAACACAGGCACTGCTGCATTGGGACCCGTTCGCCAGCAGGAGGCGATGGATGTTGTTTTTGCCGCTTTACGAAGGCTCATAAGATACGACATGATATTGTTATCACCGTGCATAACACCCAAGACCATTTGCAATCCTTTCAAAAAGTGCTCCGACTACCTAGTAAGAATAGACCACAGCTGAATAAGTACCGCATTGAAGAAAGCGGAACCCATTTAATAGGGGGATCCTAGTATACTTTGAACTGCTCTTATTATATTGCTCATTCGTTCTGAAGCTCATTACAACTATCGAGCAACTCTTCATAGCAGCAAGTAAATTCAGGTATACTGTAGAGTAAGGCGGCTTTGAAAGAAACCAAAAGTTTGCTGTCAACAAATTCACTTGATAGAAAAAAGTAATGTAACCCATAAACGTCTTCCATGCTATCGAGTCTAAGCTAATCAAGCAAAGCATCAGCCGAAGCAGTTTCGCAAGTTATGAATGGACGCCCAAAGTTACAGCGAAAGCCATACTGCTGTCGCCTCCGTAGAGAAATCCGTAGCTCTCATCGTTAACGCCAGCTGTGACAGACTGAGAAAATAGAACACTCTATCTTGCAACTCATATACACACCAAACAACGTTTAAAAAGATTGACCTAAAGATTGATGATAATTTAGGGCCCGCACTTTAAAGGATTGACTCACCGGAGCCCCCGGCCGTTTCGACAAAACAGCATAGTTGATAACCGTAAATCGAATTAGACGGTATGTAACGGCGCCGACCGCAAAACTAGCTTCCGGTAAAGATGTCATTTGTCTACCTTTTCTGCAATACATTCCCTCCTTTTCTATATCGATATTTCCTTAAAAAAATATATGCAATTTTTCGTGGTCACTTTCACGAACCTACCCTGAACATTTCATTCGATATGCTCAAGTTAGTTATCCTCGTCTACTTTAATGAAAAATACCATAATGTAGTAAGTTCGACAGTTCCATTTACATAGACGTACTTGCTCTATACCTGGAATTTCTTATGTGGCGAAACGTTATTTACAGTTAAATACTGGATTTTGATCGATTTCACACCTCAATAAACGTTAATAAAAAAAATAACCTTCAATCTCATCTTATTCTTCATTTCTCTTATCTCAATCAATTTTTCTTTATTATAACGCTATTATTGATAATTACACGACCGATTACTTAGATTACTTAGTAGTGTTCCATATTCTGTAATATTCTAACTTATGCTCGTATTAATATTGAGTTCCCTTTGTCGCCACTTACCTTTGATGCACATTTCAAAGTACGCTCATTTTTGGCGCATCAGAGAGCCCGTTTAGTTAAAGAAAATCAGTTAGGAACACTACTGCACCTATTGCCTAAATGATTTAGGAAGAAAAATCACAATACGTAGTTTAAACTGACCGTTCGTCTAGCTATATTTTAGTTACCACTAAAACAGCAGTAAATAGCAAAAATGATCGTTTAAACGTCAACACACATCCCAAGCGTTCATGTACAAGTTAGTTGGACATTAAGCTTCAAGAGAACTAGAAACAAGCAGAACAGTGTCGACCTAAGCAACATATGTACATATTCTATTATAATGTGCTCTCCACATTTATATTGCGATATTATACATACTTTTGTGAAGACCCTGCAAGCCATATAGTTGTTAGTTGTTCAATTGTAAGTTATGTGGTTAGTTGACCCAAATAAAGGTGTAGCCCAGTCTTAGGATTTATGCTCGTACACATCATTTTTATACTAATATCTAATTAGGTGCTAAATGTCTCTATTTTGCTCGACGGAAAATTAAGGTTCGCCGTTCTCTTGATGCTTCCACATCAACGACCAAAGTTTATTATTACTACTATTATGATAATTTTACCTGAGACACTGATTTACAAATAAACTGAATACATTGTATCGGCATAGTAGTGGTACAAGTGTGACGTGAAGATGGCGCCCTCCTACTGTCAATAAATAGCTATTCTTCGATTCTATTTATATGTGCTTCGGGTGTATAGAAATGCTGCTTCCAATCTTTTCTCTCTGTGTCCGATTTAGTCATATATATACGAAATCGCTAAGTCATGGGACGGGACAACAATGCTTTTTTTCTTTTTTTGATTGGCCTATTCAAGGGACCAATTGTTTCTCATCGGCGCGCACCGAGTAAATCTGCTTGTGTACAATTCCAAATGGTTTGTAACGATTGCAAAAAAAGATACTCTATCATATACAATTCGCAAACTTCTGATTAACTATATCTGAAATGCGTACAGCTCAAATGCCTGTCGTAAATGTCCCTTTGTGTTCGGAAGGCTACCTTCCACTCGTAGGCCTTTTTCGGATTCAAAAAGTTCACTTAATTTTTCTCTCACGCTAGCACAACTCATGGCACTTTTAAGCAGTAATTCAGCAGCGTCTCGAACCGATTCTAACTGCTTAAACATTTTATTTAGATATTGGCCCTCGCCGCCGGCTACTATTAAGTAATTAATAAGGGCTAGACTCAATTGTTCTTTAACGCTTTGTAGATGCTTTAGTTCTTTGTAGTCAACTTGAATGGCAGGAACCTGCTCGACCTTTTGCACTAACGTGATGAAAGCACCAAACCGTACCTCGGGCTCAATATCCTCACAGTCGGATAACTGATCGAGCGCGGAAATGCAGGCAATTTGTACCTTGAGATTGACACAGTTCATAAGGTTGTCGCTGAGAGTCTTCATAGCTGTCGGCACATCCAACATGCAACGTGTATGCGCGTTCGCCATCATCCAGCCAATGGCATAACAAGCGTTCCACTTAGCTTTAAAGAAACGAACCCCCGCATACGTGGCACTCTGCAATAGATGCTCGATCGCTTTACGAATGAGACGTTCATCGACGGACAAGTACCTACTAGTTCCCATACCTAACAATATGCCCATTGACCGCACGGCATTAATTCGAATTGAATCCTTTTCAGCATATGTATTCACAGAAGTTTCTAAAAGGCTAGTATAGAAGTCAGTGTTAATATCAACATCGAAGCGTTCAGGCTCAGAAATACGCAGTGTCCACAGAGCGTCACAGACGTTGGACAACGCCCACGAAGCCTTCATTTTTAGTGACATATTAGTTTTCTTTTTCAAGAGAGCTACACAGAGTTCACCGACATCTTGAAGAAAGATCGTATCCTGAACCATGTATCTGTATGTGCAAAAAAAAGCCAAGGTCCTGACCGCGGCCGCTGCCGTATCGTCTGTGGTGTCACGCGCCTGTGCCAGGAGGACGCAGATACAGAATCTTTGATTTCGCTGTGGTAGATCTTCCCACATCTCGGCACCGATGTTGGCAAGCGCTGTAAACGTTTCTCTTTGAAGAACTTGCTGTTCACGAACTCCGTGCTCAGTCGTTTCCTCTGATCCAGTGCTCTGCAAACAACACTGCATTACACCCTGAAATAAACATTCCCTCCACATTAGCCGGCCTAGTTCACACCCCAACTGTTTTTGCTCGTCTTTCTGGCCTGTAATCAAATCAGAAATTTGCTTTGCCAACGCCGCAGTCAATTTCATACCGTGAATTTTCACCGGTCCATAGGGATCTGTAAGTGACCAGTTGAGAGCCTGAATATAGTGGTCGAAAACATTCTTACAGTGTTCGAAGTGATTAGCAACTAACAGTGACAGCGTCTGCAATACCTCAAGCTTGACCTGATTGACCTCGCCCGTGCACGGCGATAATTTTTCGATGCAGAGCCTTTCCAGCCAATGGTCACTCTCTAATCCGAGACACCGAACGATCTCGGCATGTGATGGCTGGTAGCTAACCACTCCGCCGAGACAGGTCAGAGCTCCAACTCGCACCTGTTCGTACTTGTTATTTTGCAGTAGCAACTTGAGATCGGCACACATTTCCGTAATGAGAATGGGCTTCAATCGTGAGTATGGACTAGCCCCAATCAAGAGGGAAAGACAACTAAGCAATGGAACCAAAAAAATGGGAATTTGCTCGGCTAACAAAGCGAGGTGCAGGGCTCGATGCAGTTCACTGATCACAATAGCCATGACTTCAGAGATTGATGTGAACGATGTAGCGTGAACAGATTCGCATGCCAAAATCAGGTAGTTTTTTGAGTATGAAACAAAATCCTTGAGAACGTTGATCGCTGAGCTGCGCACGTGCGCCGATGGGTCCTTAAGCATGGATAGCACGAGAGTATGTTCCGTTGAACGCATTAGACTGCCCGACTGCTGCGGTAAAAAGTTTAGGACATATCTGCAAGGATGAACATAAATGAAACAGGAAAAACTGATAAGTTAAAAAGCTAACATTTTTGTCATTAAGGTTGTCATAATGGTGACAATCCTTGGTTTTTCATCAGATAATTCTATAATGTGGCATATTAATTTTCTTTCTGTATGGACTTTCGTCCAATGGAGAATACATAATAATAGAGAAGCAATAAAAGAATACGTAATATACGTAAACATGTTTTTTTTGCTATTTACCTTGGATTTTTTTACTATAATTTCCAAAGACATTATCGTTTAAAACACTCTTTCTCGAAACAATATACTTCAACAGAATCTACGATAACAAATGACCGGGAACTAATCAGTGGATTTTCTCGCAGCAGATAAAATTTTTAAGCTTTTATTGTGAAATGAATTCTAATAGCCTACCCAAATCTTTCATTTTTGTCGATATTTAACAATAACATACGAATTGTATCGTACGCTAACTGGCGAACTTTTGCCTTGGCAGCCTTCACTCGCACAGCCAATGTCAGCGGGCTGATATTCGTCGAACTTCCATTCACAGTCCATAGCCCTGCAGATCCCTCAACATCACTCATTTCTGAATCGGAACTATCCGTTTTTGCCCAAGGAGGTTGTTGATGTCCTATACGAGATGGACTTGCTCCTCCAGTGTCCGAGTCTTCTGAAGGACTGTCATGATAGACACTTTGCTGTCCGCCCCCTACGTCCTTACGGGGTTCCTCTGTAATATATACAATGTATTGTGTATTTACTCGAATAGGTTGTCTGCCCACCTATTGACCAAAAATAGGATGCAATAATATTGTTACCAAATAGCTTTTCAAGGTTCATGTATATGCAGGATTTCACGAATTAAAATGAAAAATTATGAAGAGTATTTATATATTATGACTGTCACGGAGAAACAATTTATTAACCTTTATCTTACGACTGACGTAACCTCTACCTGTAAAACTGACTGCTACAAACAGCTAAAACCATAATCGTCAATAAATATTTTTAAAACAAGAATAAGAAAGAATAGAAAGAAGCACATGTCCTCAGTATTTGGTGCTGTAATTTACATACTTTTTCGAGCTTTTTTATTTACTCTGGAGCGACGCATCACTGGTTTGTTGTCTCTAGTACTCGTCTCGCCATCCTTAAGATCCACCTGTGGAAGCTGATGGCAGACGGGTGACGGAAAAAGGTCGAAGTTTTTGATGGGCCGCTGCGCATAGCCCGGAAAGCCGAGAAATGTCAGATGACGCAGCCAACCAAGAAGATAACCTAACTGATTAGCGGGCAATGGAACCTGCGCGGTTGCCATATTCAGGAGCGTCTTCATAGAAGCTTGCAGTACCTAAACGGAGCCAATACAGAATTCAGGCACGTGGCATTAGATAAACACTACAATACCGTTTGGCTCAGGATACGTAGTACACCCTTACAAATCTAGATACTAATTAATTAAAACAACGAGCGTCATTGTCAATTGATGGTATTACATTAGATGTTGTTGCTCCAATCTCGCGTTAGTTTTGAATAGCTCACATGCGGGTAGCCTAAGTTGTTTCATTTAAGTATTGATCATGTTGGAGTGCGAATACGAAAATGCTAGCAGTCACCTACCTTGCAGAGCATCAGCTCATCAGCGGACATGAGCATATTTGCAACTCCATCAATGATTAAGGATGAAATTGCTTCAGCCTGTTCAGGACTAAGGTACTCAAAATCTTCAGGACCCCCACGGCGAATTGTTAAAGCCTAAAATTAAACAAAAATTACAGAAGAATCAGAACAATTCTATTCTAAGTTATAATGTTGAATACATCTTAAAGGATTCGAATAACCGAACTTGTAGAAAGAATAAGTCTGTGTCCTACATGTATGCATATATACTGTTTGCTGTGGATGGCTGAGCTCCCAATTGAGCCAATATTTTGCATCTAATCAAAGACCGGTAGCTAATACGAATTGTAGTTCAATAACAAATCAATACGTAATGCGTACTTGTAGTACTTTAAGGGCGGAGTGTCGAACAGCGACATTCGACTCGTTTATGGCAAGGCATGATTTAAGCACGGTGAAAAGTTCCAGCCACACGGATTCCAGACGATGACTGTTCTGATACACCAAGGTACCTAATGAGGAAAAATGTCTTCATTAGGCTACGACAGCAATATGGGGGCTGATGAATACACTGCAGCGGCCTATCGTTTGACGCATATCTATATAATCGATACATGTTAAATTTTGTTTTTTTTTTTCAAAATCCCACATTTCCACTCCATCTTGAGACCTTGGTAACTTTACTCCAAATTTTAACTCGATAAGACAGAAATTTATTTTTCTATACATGAAAACGATGCATACAGTAATATTCTCCATTTTTATCTCTTTTTGCCAACATCCTATCCGTCTATAAGGTATATACACAAAGGAGCTTTACACCACTCCTACGGTCTGCTGACCATTTCCGGGAACAGAAGCTCGGATTAAGCATAACTATCTTCGTAGTCCAGTGATGATGAGTTATGTCCATAAAATACTTACCAAGTGTTTCTGTTGAGAAATATTAACAGTCATTTATAAGCTCATAGTGCATTTTAAAATCGAAAACAAACAGTACAACCACGCAGTCGGAAAAGAAAGACAATAAATCGAGTTATCATCAAATAAAGCAAGCGGGTCCATAACAAGGCGAAAAAGCAAACCACGATAATTGAAAGACTCAGTATCCAAAAGACGCCAGAAGTCAAACTGTTTTGGAACTCGCAACACCGGCCAGGTGAGGATCACAGGACACTGGTTTTCGAAGTAGACACGCAAAAGAGTTCAGGGAACCATTTTAGGCAGAGACCATTTTACGTCGTAGCCACAATAAAAGAGTTGTTTTTGATAAGCTAAATATAAGACTGGCTACGGCTCAACTAGCACCTAATCAGTTGCCTGCAGTGCCAATTTATGTTGAGAATATTTAAGTAAAACTCGGTAAATGCAACCGAAAGTCGCATATTCCTACAGTAAATGTAAATAAGGATAGAGTCAAATAATATTAAGGCGGAAGCCAATTATATGTTGGTGGTCTATGGCTACAACATCTACTTACCAAGCGTGTGGAAGCTAAGCAAGAGTTGAGGCACTTCAAGCTGGCGGACATCACGAAGGCAAAAATGAATTAACTTCAAAAGTGTGCGGTCATCTAAATCGAGCTGATTTCCCTGAAGATCAAGTGCCGGATAGAAAAGTCATTAATCTGAAGCTCGGAATAATTATTTTTGTGGGCGCCCTTAATGCTTTTTAAAAACGCCTAATAAATTCTTTGTATGTTAGGCATGCCGTGCACGTAATTAATAGGATTTTCAATATTTCCAAAAAGTACCCGCATAAACTGGAAGATCTGTGAAAATGACGAAAAAATAATTTTTCAGTGTTTGAAATTGAAAAAAGTTTTTGTTATTAATATGTGCCTGCGATGTCTGAAGTGCCCAGATAAGTTGCTTGGTCAATTCGGCAGTTGTTGCCGAGAACTTTAGGCCATCACAATGTAGAAGACATATCCGGAGTAAATCGGAGCCAACATCGGATGTCAAAAACGGTATCTGCGGAACATAAAAACACAAAAGCGTGATTTCTTTCGGAATAGACATTTTTTTAAACAACGGCAACTTTTATAACATCTGTTGTGGAAAATGCTTACGCAATCGTACGTATTTTTTTCTTTTTTTTCCTTTCGACCATGTATTTCTAGCTTTATCATCCTTCTGGGCTTATCAGACGTTTTTAATTGCATTATAATCGTCATTATTAGTAAGTAGACTAGCAGTTTTAGTTACCTCATAATTAAGCTCAAGAAGATCCTTAATAATAGGATCGACGCTGACGTTAGTGGTGTTACGATGCAGTGCATTTTTTAGTTTGTTTAGACATTCAAATAGATGGAGGGTCTGTTCAGCTGCCACCGAATCACCCATTCTTACATCATCGCTGGACACGCAGGCGTATCTCCAATAAGAGGGCTTCGGGATCTTTGGAATAAAAAGGAAGAACGAAATCATTAAAAACAATCACGCCTACTGTTATATAGGTAATATAAATACGACCCCACCAACTTGATCTAAAGAGGAGGACAAACTATGGTTTTTCAATTGGGTTTATCATCAGGCCACATTATCTCCTATATCTAACGAGGTACACATATAACGCATCATACATTTCTTTCTCTAGTCATCATTCTTACGCGGTGATTACCAAAATGTATTTACACTCTTCGTGTTTTTTGAGCGTGCAATTAAGCCATTTCTAATTATAGTTGCGGTGCAGCATTGGCCTTGAATCGAATTAGCGTTTGTTGAACTTTGTAAGTTCCACAATTGGAAATCAACGTTATAACTTACCACGGAGGCCCGCGAGCACCTGGTCAGACAGTATCAGTAAAATTACCTATGTTTCACATTTGTATAGTAATAGTGAACACCGAAGCAAATAGGAGTCAGCTGACCGGGTCAGGTTTGTTCAATGCACCATATGCGTCGTCCCACTCAGCGACAAGCGAAGCACAAACATATATAATGCAAATGTATATCTCCGAAATCTGCTAATTTAGAGCAAATACTGCGCTGTCATTTATTATTTCAACTGAAAATAAAGCTAACATATTTTTTAGCCAAAGTTCCATAACAACATGCCCGTTTAATCAATTGCACTATAATACAGGTCGAAACCCCGGGCGTAGAGCAAATGTTGCTTCTTTACTTCGGATATAATGCATCGGGCAGTTTCCCCCGTACGCAGCGACACACAAAACGAATCCGGCCTTCGTTCATATAAATTGGCGCTGTTTAAGCGCCGCATTATACAGTAAGTTCGGACAAGGATTCTCCCCTATACACCGCTAGTCCGATGCAGGGAATTGCTGACAGTCGTGCAGGTTCAGCCTATATTTAGTTATTACTTGTTAAAAAAATAACGAAAGGCACAAAAACAAGATCTAATACTGAACATTCGCTTCAGCTGCCAGTCCAACTCACTTGTCAATCAGTGCTCCTCCGGTTCTTCTTCGAATTTGGTCAGTTCGCCGGTGGTAAATCTCAACCCAGTCAGCTGACGAAATACAGCTAAAAGCAGACAACGAAATTCCGCCTTATGATTTCTAACATTATGATCCGAGCTCAACGTCTTAGCAAGAAAACCCACGCTATATAGTGATTCATTATGGGATTATTTGTTACTTTTGTTTCTCGCTTTGGATATTGCTACAATAATGGTCGCTACATTGCAATCATTGCAACTAATGAAGAAGCGATCAGCACAATTTCCTTCAAATCTGATCAATTCGAATATATTTTCATAAGTTTTAAATGTAAAAAGAGGAAATTATCATCTCATTAATTATGATTGACACATTTCGTTTTACGAACGCATGATTGATTGACTGGACAAAAGAATTATGAATTACATTATTTGGTCTGTATTTACATAAAGAACAAAGATAGCACTTAAATCAGTCAAATAAACTTTATTAATATCACATCTCTCGTTATTCAAGTCGTACAGGCCATGAGCATGTAGTTGTGTAACTATGACTATTTTTTTTGTTGCTATAACAACTCAAATCTATATGACTCGGATATTCGGGTATCCACTGATCGTATATATCGTCTAGCAGGTGTTTGTATAAAGAACTTCACTTATAAGAACACACAGCTAATATACTGATCTTTTCAACATTGTAATTTACTTCAGTCGATAAAAATGTCAACCTGCATAATATTAACGCTGTCTTCAAAAGGGGTCCGAGCAACTTAGATTGTTAGCGATACGGCATCCGAACTAAATCTTGGTTAGTACGAATGTTCGCTGTTTCTACTATAATCGTTTGTGTTTCCTGGTGTTTTCGACCTCGAATCGGAATTGTTCATCGTTGTCGATAGGTAGTCCGCTTTTAATATGATCGACGAATTTTTTTAGAGCGATATAGAACGGAATCTGAAACGATGATCAAGATGTAACATCACACCTTGTATCAATTGAGAGAGATAATGTATCTGAAAACTGGAAAACGCATGGTTTGTATCAACCGGTAAATAATAATAATAATTAATTATAAATAATATTAAGGCTTATTTATTTAATCACACAGTAGATATACCACGTAGCTTGCAAACAGTGCAATTAACAAACTCTCTATGCAATAATTTAAGCTGAATTATATCTTTAATTTTAGAGTACGCTTATTTTGAATAAATTGTTGACTACGCAATGAGTGGATGATTAAAAACAGCCGGAAACTACATGTCCTCTCTTAATCGTTAATCTAGCTTACAAAAGCAGAAAAAAAATCCAAGTCTAGAAATGTTCATCCTGCCAAAGACAAATAATATTCAAATTTGAAATAAAGCAGCTTACACAAAATAGTACGACAGGTATCCTTTCAGCCGCATAATAATTAATGCAATGGGTTGACTTAAATTACAGCATCCTTTACGTGGTTGTTTGCATAATTGCATTGGTGTTATCCTTTATAAATGCTAAAGTTTTTGATAGGAGTTAGTCGTAGTCAACCCTCTTAGAGATACTACTATTGGTTGGTATATGTGTCCTTAATGCCTCCAAACTATTATTCGTTTATAACCTGATTGTTAGCCTATGAAAAAGAGTTTTTAATACAAACAGTAATCAATGCTATTACGGGGTTTCAGTGACGACAAACTAATGATCTCATTTCATTAGCTAACACAGAAGTCACCAAATTAAAAATCCAGTAAGATACACACTTGAAAGTGTTACCTTATCCTCAGCTCTTGGATAAGAAGCCGAGCGTGGACTTGAAGATGGCACAACAAAGATCTGCAAATGATCAACAAATCTAACAGCTGTTAGTTTATTGCGACCAGAAATAGGAATCATTTTTAAATTTTGCCTTTTTGCAGTGAATGCTGAAAGCACGCAAATATATCATGAGTCAGCAAGGTCTTAGCTTCTCGCGTACTTGTATAACCTCCGGATTGTACTTACATCTGTATGCACTTGATATATTGCTCTCACGTACAAACCTCAATCCCAGGTATGAAGCTGTCTTGCCGTCCCAAGTGTTTAACTTTGCTTCCAATAAATATTTCGTAAATGCCCTTTCCGTTGAAGACAACCACTTTAGGAGAAAACTCTTCGATTTTTTTTCGAAGGATCCTTGCTCCCTCAGAAATCTCCTGCTTTGAGAGGTCGTCCTGACCACGAGTCGCTCTTTCGCAGATGTTAGTCAAACCTGAAAATTATTCAAATATTTAGATATACACACGCGTGGTAGATCAGCTGTGGTTATAAATTTTTCTAGTTTAAAATGTGTTGAAAAGAAAAAACAGATTTACTATTAGATGGGCCTCACCTCTTGTTTTACTGGAAAAACAGATCCGACCATTTTATTCACAGTGACCATAGTCCGCATCAGACATCTCGCTTACTCTAAACCTATAAGTGAGCTTTGTTTTGAAAGCTAGCGACCGTCTGGGTTAGACAATAAATAGTTTGTTAGAAGTATTGCAGTCAGAAACAAGTGCATTATCACTGGAGTCGCAAATAAAGCTTTCCTCTATTTTGTATGCGAAGAGCAGTTTAGACGATTACAGCTGGTAATGATTTCAAGGTGCATTGTTCTTCATCTTCAGAAAAATCATCAGAAAAACAAGTGATTCTATTTTCTTGCAAAACAGGCACCCCGCAAACCGTTATTGAAATATGTTGGTGAAATTGAATCAAATGTTTTGGCTTTGAGTAGAGTTTACCGATGTTCCATTTTAACAGCCGAAAATCATTCTCCCAAGTGATGGGTTCTGGAATAAGTTTGGACTGGTAAAGGCATTTCCAGAAGTGATTTCCAGGACCCGCGTAGTAGTGTCGCGCCTTGGCCGAGAAGAAACCCGGATTGATGCCAACCACAAGTATATCCAACCCATGGCGTATATAGTCAGGAAGGGTGCCGTTCTCCAAGATCTAATAGCACAACAGTCCAGCGTAAAATAATGTAGAAGCGTGTCAAGCTGTTTTACTGAATTCAGATTTTTCATTTAAAAGAGAATTCAGATATCTGATCAAGAGAAAGTGCCCGAGTATCGATCTGTTCATAACAAGGACTTGTTAAAAGCGGTTATTAGTATCCAAGGGAGAAATATAAGAATAAGTTGTATTTTCTCTAAGATAATATATATGTTATCTTTACACAGTAGGCTAACAATATTGCATTGTTTTCGAAACAGTTCTCTTTGTTCACACGAATTGTGTAATATGCGTCGTTCACCTTGAAAGACATTTATATTTTATGCGAGTAAGAAGTATTGTTAAATATGACATCGGTATAGGATAAGTCCAAAGGCCGATGCTGAAGTTTGATCGCATACCTTTAACAACAACGATTGTACTACGCGTATAAATCATACCTTTCTCTCAGTTTCAGGAGATCGTGATACTCCGATGGACGTTGAAGTCTCGCCGAAGACGGTCGGTGCCTTAACGCTTGAAAACTGCTGCAAAAAACCCTTGAACTGTTTACCTTCTTGTTTCGACATTTCTGTAATATTAAACAAAAACAAAAATATCTGAAATAAATATACTTCTTCAGGACTGCACACTTTTCATAGTCATGGATTCGTGTCTCTCTGTTCTGAATTTAATTCTAGAGATCAAACAAACAATGACATAATATGTAAAAAACGAGAAATAAACGGTTCATACTTTTCGCTTACCCTCTCAAAAATGGTACGTAGTTTGTGTATAGTTAATTTAATACACTGTACATGCTATGGCCAAACTCTCAGCTGCGACGCTACGGTTTCCAAGCAGTCAGCAAATTCTCATGAACTAGTTTGGGCATATTCAGCCTTCATTTTATGGGTCCAGCAGCGCGCTACACAGTAAAGCTATTTCCCAGACATAAGCATCTGCTCCGGTTGTATCTGAATATTATCAAAACAGAGCACGTCAGAATGGAACAGAACTAAGTACAACAGATAGGACCGCTGTTTGAAACAGTTTTGTCTAGCAAAATATAATCACTGTGCAACAAACATTCAGGTCTTTTTGGGGTCATGGTGCGCAACGTGTATCAAGTGGTGGTCATCTATGGTCAGCATTCGATGCTTTGTTTTTGTCAATTCTGAAGGAATAGAGAACTTTCGTCGTGAATGATTTGATTGAGGATGTTTCAACACGAAAAATTAACTTGTTAGTAGTCAACTGCTAATCAACGTAGAGGATACATCAGTCATGGTTTGAAAATCCCCATTGTAAGATGTCATAGTGAGTCTAAAAATTCAGTAGGCCTCAATAGATGGAGCTTTTGGGTAGTAAGGAAAGAAGACAGCTGGCATTTTAGTGAATGAGGCGGATTTATTCGAAGCAAAATCTTAGCAGTATACAGACATTTCGCTGTATTAAAGCAATTCATCTATATACTATCAGTATCAGTGTCTTACACGTTCATGAATTTTAAATCACAGCTACTTAATTCATTTTAACCACTGACACCGGCTGAATTGGTTTCTAATAGTAAAGATGAAAAAATTCAATGTACATTCGTCTTGCTTTCTTTCTTTTTAAGCGATTGTCACTGGATCAATAAGGTTTCTATTTGAGTTAATCTAGAATAGTGATTCAGACGATTGTACTCGGCGTCTGAAAATGGCGAATCCGTTGGTAACTGATAAAACTCCAATGGATAGCGGAAGTGATACTCCTATTGCCAACATCTTATCATATTCAGCATCCTCTGGGACGCTAATGTTACCAGACGTTTACGGAGAGAGCGTAGTCATCGAACAACTGAGATCAGATACCCTCTATCGACACTTTCTGGACGATGATTTTGACGCAAAATCTGTGGCTGCTAAAGCTGTCGAAAACTTAGCGATCACGGATCATCTTGCCAAGATTTCGGCAGGTTAGATATACATAATTTGACATAATTGGTAATTTTATTAACGATTAGATTTATTTAGGTTCAATCATGTTAGATGCTGTATTAATTCGAATGTAACTCAAAGACCATTACGCGGGTTTCATAGCCCATTATATTGGCTAAAGGCGTATCCTCAGTTAACGGGGAAACTGTATTCTATCAGCACAATTTTTAACATTTTCTCCTGCTTATTTTATATAGGAATATCATTGGTGGAGCGTGAGATTCGTCACGAGGTCGGCGATAAATACGATGAACTACTAAGTCATGCTACCGATATTGAGGGACTCGAAAAAAGCCTGCAAGATACATTTAGTTCAGTGAAAGCTTTAAAGGTTTACCACCCATTTTGTCCACTCCTGTTTCATCGTTTATTCTATCCATAAGCCACTGCCTAGACTGGATCAAATATAGATTAGATCCACTATGTTATTTTGTTTAATATTTTAATCTAACAAGCCCGAACCGTTAGGGTTAGGCAGCCTTATTCATTACAAAAAAAATGTTAAAGACGCAGTTGTAATTATAAGTTCAAACATCAACGGCGGAGAAACGTTGTTGCAAACACTTAAGTCCATGGCTTTATTCCGCTTTTTAATGTCTTTGGTGTAGGTGGTCGGCGATCGTGTTCAATCACGGATGTCTGAATGCTACGAGAAAGTTGAACAACACACATTGATGCTTGCTAGGTTACATGATACCTGTGAACTAGCCAGGAGTGTTGCAAGACTGGCCGGTGTCTGTCGACAATTACGACAAGTGAGTAGATTATAAAGGGATAAAATATTATGAAAAACAAACTATTTCTGATTGATTTCTGTATTGTTCAATGTAGGATGTATCGGTTGGCATCGTTGGCATACTATTTGTTTTCTTTTTTCGCTTTTCAGAACAATTCCAAACAGACCAAGGATATGATGAAAAGCTCCCAACTGATCTCTGAAGTGTATTACCTTCTTGCTAATGTGGGGGAAGGTATACACTCAATTAATGCAGTGCGACCACATCTCACGTACGTAATCATCTACTCATTCGGTATATAGCATACAACAGATTTGAAAGTGAATCAATAATTATGATATAAAATAGGCCACTTTGTCTTGCCAAGAAAGCCTCATCTTTATCATAAATATGTCTCATAGTTGAGGTTGCTGTTGTTGTGGATTTTTTTCTGAATACAGGTTTGTAAGCGAATTCCGCGTGGATCTCGTTCGTCAGTGTCAAGCACTCCTCGAGACCTCTCTGGAGTCTCAGAACTTTGCACAGATGACCATTGCTTTGCAGTCATTCCACAACATGGGAATTCTTTTACAGCAGTTGGATGCTTTACTTACGGCTTGCAAAGAACGCCTTACCAAAGCTACTAAAGAAGCTCTTGATGTACACAGGCGAGTAACACCTTTGGTGTAACGAAGGATTTTAAAAAGCCCAGTCACTAACAGGTGTTTGAGAAGCTACTTAGTCACATGAGAAATTAGCAGATGATCGGCGGTCCTGTGGAAGACCTTTCTTTTTTTGTTTTGCGTAAATACACATGCGTATAATAGATTAGCGTATTGCAAAACAAAAAGCAAATAAAGATAGAGAAATAAAGAAACCAGGAGAGGGGTTATCCTATAGGACAGTAAATTTTGTCTCAAATTCTACGTAATTTCATGGACAGTTAAACCGATTATCAAATATACGTATCTCAATGATTTTTTTATCTATTTTATCTTCGTTGCAATATTCGTTGCAATCTGGACAAATATTTATAGAATCGTTTAGAAAACACAAAAGATTTTTCGGGTGATTATTTTAGCTCGGGTTTCGAAGAGCTGAGCGGCATTCAAGGCTGTACCATTATGGTAAAAAGTTGTAACGACAATAATCCAGCTGCGTACTTTTGCTGATATCCCGTCATTTTTCTTAATGTCGATCTGCTGTGTTGTAGAGTCAGATCAGTGCAGATATTGCAATTATTTCTTTATATGCAACGTGTTCGAGGATTTTTTTAATCTAATGACCAGTGTCAAGCGCCCTATTTAAAAACTGGACTGAACGAGAAAAATGATTATTTCATCAGGTTCATTAGGTCGTAGGTTTCATTAGATCGATATAGGTGAAATGAGCGCTTTTTCGTTCCAGACTGAGTCAGTCTCCAGAACAGGCGACGTCCGGTGGAAATAGATCGTTGCCGGGACGAGCTAGTTTAGGAGGTGGTGCGGCATTTAGAGGCAATCTGTGGGCATCGATTGAGTCACTGTTGGGATCTGTCGGGACGCAATTGACACAGGTGGTTGGATTCGAAGCTGTTATGGCTAAACGAAAAGATACTAATAGTCACAACACGTTTGCTCAAATTATTCAGCAACAACGGAAGCGGAAGTCGGTAAACGGCGATGCTTCTGATAACAACGATGATGCCGACGTTTTTAATAATGGTACGGAGTTAGCAATAGTTGTGATATCAACTTTGATTTAGGACGAATCTTATTACATTCTATTAATCAATAAGATCATGTATTATGCAAGCTTGCTGTTTTCGTATTCTATCATTATTTCATTGCCCGTTTTTGACCAACAGACGATTCAGTAAAGTCGGGATGCGGCCTGGTAGAGTCGTTGTGGCTGGAGCTAGCGCTGATGCTTTCCCGAGAACTAATTGCAGCATCTGCGCAGTCGACATTTGTGAGACAGGCATTTGAGGGTGAATACCCAAAATTGATAAAAATGTTCACTACAAAACTTGAAGGGTGAGTTGCAAAGGCTTATTTTCATGTTGTAACAAAAAAATAACAAATGTAGCCATGCATGTAGGCTTTCTATCAAATATATGATACGGAAGCGTTTATAATATCGTTTATTATATCCAACAAAAATTAATATGACTACGGAGTTTTTGTTGTAAACGAAAATAAAGGACAGCGGAATTAAAACAGCAGTAGAATAGTACAGGAACCATTTACTATATCATTTTAGTCTTCACCTATATGATTTATTTTACTTAATTTAACGTTCTTGTTACGCTTATTTACTTGCATCAAGCGTGAAATCTCTCAGAACGCAGACCCACTTAATAAATTTAGATCATGACTTTCCTTTTCCTAACTGAAAGCAGATTTAAAATTACATAAGTGCGTATTAATCCTAATAAAATTATCTTGTCGGCTTTCGTTTACTTCGCAATATATGAGCGCAGAGTTGACCTGACGAAGTTGAACTTGGAATCGCTTGAAACAGCGTACGTGTCCCGGTCTCTGTCGCGTTTGCTCGACTGTGCAAACCTTTGCCTGACGAATACGCCACCACTTCAGGATGACGTTGTTGCTGTCGTTAATGTAAGCAATTTGATTGCCATAATTTTCTCATTATGTGCCACTAAAGGTTGAAACGAAAAAATGCAGGCAAATAAACTGGGAAACAATGGTTCATTTCATTCATTTACTCGATTCAACCTGTACGGTATACCAAATACGATTAAACCCGGCCAACACTAGGTTTATAAAATATTGATAATATTTTACTGGGAATGCAGAGAATGAGCGAATAAGACAATTAAATTAATGATAAAATCACTCAGCTCTCTGTGACCAAGAAATGGGTTGTTTTTTTATTTAAATTTTATTTATTCTGAGTAGTTACTTACATATATTAGATGCATTTGCTATCCGGGCAGTATAAATATTAATTAAGAATGTCTTGTAGGTAATTATGTCTGAGATACGGGTGACTGAATCCGTCGGTGATGTACAGCTGTTGCGCAAGGTAAATATTTTATAAATATATATTACCATTGCACGTAACTGCCAAAATAACCCAAGTAATTTTAAAAGTTCTGCCAAAGATCGGACGTCAACATGCGAATATACCACTTAACTAATTCATGGCAAAGGATGATTATTATATCAAGGTACTAGGGGTACTTTGCATTAACCTTTTAATCGCACCGTAGGCTATCTAAATATGTTTATTACGTGATGACGTGAAATTCAAACATCGACAGGTATCACGGAACGTAGCTCAAACTGTGGTTCAGTTGGCATCACGTTCTGAACAGACAGTGATTAGCGCAGAAGTTCCTGAGGCCATACAGGTCATTGGACCAGCAAATTTGACGCAGAAAAACAACGGGATGGCTCTTCAGTTATTGCACATATTCAGTGTGCAAGTGTCATCGTTTCTCGCTAGCCTGGTTCGTGACACCATTTTCCTTACTTGATAGGACCATCTAAAATAAACAGTAAATTTCAGTTACTTGTTTATATTTTGTGCCACTCATAGTTACGATCCAAAGGAAATAGTATTATTTCCTTTGGTACCACTGGAAAAGTACCACTTTTCTAGCTCGGTTCGTTGATGCAATTCATAGAGCCTTTGTGGAACGGGATACAGTTGCTTTAAAATACTATGAGATAACACGCTTCAAAGGTACGAAAGCTGAAGAAAAAAAGAAAGAGATTTTAGACGTTGAAAACATAGATACGAGAATTTAGCCAGTTTTGACTAAGAATACATCAGATGCAAAGATAGGACCTATAATGAATTAGATTTTAAGCGCATTTTGCTTAATTGCAGAATTGCGATGCTACAGCAGTGTCCGTGATGGCCTCATCGTTGAAACAGATCGATGCTACAATTTCGTCTTGTCTTTCACCGCTATTTGGAGCCGTCGGAGGCGCAATCGAAGCAATCTTATTAACGATGCATGAAGAGAAGTACGACACGTTTTATCGGTTTACTCTCTAAGTTGACACACATAGCAGACACGGTATATGACAACAAACAAGAACCATTGTTCAATATTTTTTTTTCTGAAATCATCGAGAAACACAAACTTTTATGAAAAAGCAATTCAATTCCTATTACGAATTGGTTTCTTTTCCTCGACTGGGATAATCTGTCAGAGATAAAACTGAATAGATAAAAATTGCCTATATAAATTATTTTGAAACTGACTCGAAACTTGACCAAAATATGTCAAAAAACGGTTTTGGTGATACCCAATAATATAATGTGGAAATTAGCGGATATTCTTGAGTGTATGATATCTACTACCAATTGAATCGTCCAGGTGTTCTTGACCCTTCAGGCGTTTTAAATTCTACTGTCAGTCAAGCTTTTGGTCTGCTACCGGCCCAAAATGTAATTCCGCTGGACCTTCAACAAATTATTAGACAAAGAAGAAGACAAATTATTAGACAATTTTTAATGTTTATAATGTTGTTTGCAATGTTTTAATGCTTTTTACAGGTATGACCAGCCTGCAACGTCCTCTGGAAAGGAAGTGCAATGCTCACTGTATATGCGCGAGTTAAATGGTTTTCTACAGAGAGTACTAACAGAGTATCTGACTTTGTTTCCACCAAATGCCACCGTACAAGGCATTGTCCGAGAGGTAAGCGCACTATATTGACGAAAAAGATATGGGAAGAATCGGTTTTTCAAGCAATATTTAGAATTAAAGCTCATACATACGTAGAAAATGCGTAATATATGTATTGTCTTTGTTTTGTATAATCCCAATATCTGTAATAAAATTTATTTTGAGGCGAGTTTAATATCTCTGCTAAGTCATTTGAAATTCAGGAATATGCACTGAAGAAAATATTTTCCCGGCAGAATTTTATTACCGAACATATTAAGCACCTAATTTTTTTGCTATATGCGATCAGATGGGGTCTCGTACGATCGAGCTATTTTTCCGATTCGTCAGCCTTGTGCGACCAGTTAACGATGGAGGGTGTTTACGTTTGGCCGCGGACTGTACCCAACTAGAAGCGAGTTTGACTCCGTTAAAGCCCGAGGCTCGCGAAGATGCATTTGCACGTCGATCACGAGCGCTTCGTGCTTTCAGGCCGTTACTTCTTCTTCCTGCGGAACAAATTGCCCAGGCACACGCAGTCGGTCCTGTTATCCCCTATTCAACGATTCTGCAATTTTTTTTTTCTAGGTGAGCATCGATGAAATATTTGAAACATCATCTGTGTTGAAAATGATCTAAACAGTATCTTATATATTCACGTGTCGCCAAAGGCAGTAAGTTTAAAAACATGCGTGGACATGTTACGTTAAATGTACAGTAAAGATAAATGGGTAAATAGGTGAGTTAAATTGGAAAAACGATATTTGTGTAATAAGAATGTACTAGAAATACATTTAGATATGTTTTCGAAACTAATCAACATGCTTTATTATTTCTAGTTCTTCAAGGTAATTAGGTTTTTCATTACTTCTGTTTATGAACGATTTACTGTTTTACATTTTGGTGGCACTTCAGGGCTCCATCAGAAATGAAGTCACCACATGATGCTGCATCATGGTCGCTTCAACGCTACTCACAGTGGTTAGATCAACACCCGTCCGAAAAGGATCGGCTGGTGCTTATCAGAGGCACACTTGATTCGTACCTGCGATGGGTGAGGCATAATGGCGTCAAAGAGTTTCCTGCAATTTACATTGTCATCAATGACCTGCTCTGCAAAGCTGTTGTAAATTGCGTTTGATGGAGTCGATTGACGTGAAACCATTGATAGAAAAATGTTCTATAAATAAAAAAGCAATATATTAAAATAAAATGTTCTGTTCCTTTATTACGTTGTTTACGGTAACATACTTCACTTTGCATTGCGGAACGAGTGTACTTTGCAACGTGAGCATTGCGCTATGGACGTTACGTATAAATGTCCCATGGGAAAATATCGTGGAATAATGACCCTCGCTCCAGTTTTACAAATAGCTAGTTCCAAGCAAGTATGCAATAACAATTAGTCCTGTTAATTACAAGCCATAAAGAGTACAAATTACTTCATTATTCGCCAGTACAGAGATTAACTGCTGTGTTGTTCTCTGATATTTGACAGCAGTCATCTGAGTCGTGACTTGGTGACTACTGTTGCACAGGATACTGAACTAAGCTAAACAAGACACCAAAAACGAGACTCAGTTATCTGCATACATGACCCATACGATTCTTCCGCTTTTATTTTTATTGAATATATTGACTTCAGAAGCGGCTGCAGAAAGAAAAGCTAAGACGAACGGTACATAGCAAAGCACCTCTCGACGGACAGCTCGTTTGCCGCTGCTAAGCACGTTGTTCCAGTGAGAAAAACGAGGACAGGTTACGCACAAAAAGGCCCTTGATTTCCCACTGTTTCATTACTTTTTTTAGATGAGTAGTGCTAATGGTGTCTGTGATGGGGAATATAGGCATCATGGGGAGACGAAATCTCGCTTCGAGGTTCCCAAACGTCATGTAAATCAGAAAATATCGCGTCCATGTAATGAGCTGACTCGGGACGAAATCTGATGTAGTCAAGTGGTCGCGAGCAGCACAGACAGTATTGGGGCACTCCGCTACATCCTCCGCCGTAGGCACCTTTAAGAACGCGTAGTTTTAAATAAAACTATGTCAGCCAGATCGGAGACAAACGTTCCACACGATACACAAACAGATAACCCTACTCAAGTGTACTGAGGTAAGCTGAACTGAAATGTACAATGGCTTTACTATTGACCCACGTAACCTCTTACGAATGAAACAATGCGAATGTATCATTACCATTTTCTTTAAGGGAAACCTAAACGAACACAACCGACCGCTTCCCTTCGGTTCAAGGCAAAACAATGCAGAGGTCAAAAATATTACAAACTTTTTTGCCGAAAAATAATAAGCTTTAGTATAAAACCTGTTGCTCACCGAACGGCTGCTGCGATCGGAACGAATTGTAGAGATCATCATGCGGACAGGCTGCTCTTGGAAGCAGCTTCCCGTCTCGAAGGGATATTGGCTTTCCGTTAGCAGCTCGAACGTTCTGTGCCTCCAGACGACCATCTGAGAGAGTCCACAGATCGAAGAGAACAGGTGTTTGTGGTTTAAGGAAGATCAACTCTTCGGGTGCCATGACAATTGAGTTGCGATGAACGAAGAGCTCGTGGCCTGTATCGTCTCGTTCGATAAAACCGTAACACAAGCGTGAATTATACCTAGAGTGTGAAAAATATTTTTAGTACATTTCCTTTTGAATATACTCATGCACTAAATATGCGTTTTACCTACCGGTATACACACTCGTATAACAACTTTCCTTCGAATAGGCGTTATCCCAATTACGTGCCTATAATCGTTATCCTAATATATATATATATATATATATATATATAAATAAATAAAAAGCAACCTTGTTCTATGGGAGAGAGCTCGCTGCAATTTAATCAAAATCTTCATACACAACCGTATTTTTTCACAATATTTCTGGAATAGAGTTCAATTACAACTTTAGCATTGCTTTAGTGCACGCAAAGCTTAGGAAACTAACTGACCGACCTTCCGCAAGATGACCGTCATACTTATGACAAGCATACTGAATAGGTCTTATGTGCCAATGTACCTCAATAGATCACCGTATAATATATATACGGTATCAATGTTATAATGACTAAGCAATATACGTGTATTTAAATGCTGGTCTACTATATGGTATTAAAATCCCGTGTGTTATATAAGTTATATAAGATATGTAAGCACAAAAGACCCATCCAAGTGTCCTTTATACCTAAAAAACGCCTTTTTGTATACTTATTTTATATATATAGTATATATACTTATAAAATATACATAATAGAATCAGTGCCAAAAGTCAATACAGTTTTATCAGTTTCGGGGTACCAAACGCCTCCCATATTAATAAAGGACTGATATATTCTTTTCATGTACAATCCCTCGTAATTAAGCTTCTCATTCCGGATTAGATCAGCAAGGTTATATCGTTCACCCGCTGCACTACATTTATTTTTTTGATTTAGTCGAAAAAAATCACATAACTTTGTTCACTTTCATAAACAGATCAATTTTCATAAAACTCCGGCAAAAAGTGTTTTATTTATTTAATGAGCTGCTTTGACAAATCCAATAGATAATACGGCATATAATTTTAATGCACAATGTTTTCAATGCTCTACTAATTTTTGCTTAATATTACACATACAAATTACTTACTATACAAAAAACTAAAAAGAAAAAGGCACATATTAATTGGGATTAATGAGCAACAATTGAGTGCTCTGAACCAGGTGTTGAATAGATAGAAAAATATGACTGGCTGAAATCACCGTCTTTCTTTGTTTCTTTGCAAAGACACATTTCTAAAAATTAGGTCCGCAACGTATGGGACGAGGAGGAAGAACTTGGACGGGTTGCGCTTACCACCTGACCTTCCCTCGTAGTTTCTCTGCGATAAGCTCGGCCCTGCCGGCTTCCGTAGCCAACTTGATCTGTCGCTCCTCCGAGGACAGATCAACGTGGCCGTCCAGCTGTTCTTCCGTTTGTACCGTCTTACCAGGAGTTGTTCCTTCAGGCAATTCGTCTTGCCTCTCCTTGGAGCCACAGGACGCGGCTAACGCGTCGCCACCACCATGCTCTTTATCCGACATTTCGGCACTGAAAGGAGCTTGTTGTTTCTATTATTATTATACAACACACACGCAATACAGTTCTGGTATAAAAATATTCGTTTTTAAAAACACTGTCCTCCCGTGATTTAAATTCTTCTCGGCGCACACCAGGCGTTCTTAACGATTCGCGTCTAGATGTAGGGGATCTTGGGTGATCACACAAAAAGGCCGTTTAACATCGACATGCGCAAGAAAATCGGTGAGAGACTCTTTTTAGACTCAGTAACATCCACAAGTCGAATGGGCTCGCTTCGTTGGCAGTCCACAAATGACGCTCCCAAATCGACAGTCGAACTTTAATGAACGTCGACTACTTGACGAGGGCGATTTTAAAATCTTGATTCAGGACGAACTCTGTGTTGCTTGGTGGATAACTGGCACTAGGGGCGCAATTATATGAAAACTTTGCACCAACACAGAATGTGATACTAATCGAAGTCGTATACAGACAACCTCGATTTGACGTTTGCTGTCAGGCTACAATCTATGCGTTAACGAGTAGCATACAGTTCGTAAAATCCGTTCCAATTAATACTTCATCTTCCTTTTACTAAAAAAGTTAAAGTGATCTGCTTGACTTATAAACTTTCACGTTTACACTTGTACTTCCATATATATTTATTTTTTACGTGAATATTATGTGTCAGCTAATCAAGCCAAAGCCAGATACAGAGGCATTAAACATATCTAAGTCTGACCCATACACACATATGACAGTGAATTTTAATGGGACTTTTATGCCTACTAGACACAGTCGTCAGACCGTCGTATCTTATTGACCGAAGTTTTCATTCAGGGCTACGCACGCGTTGAACAGATTATCCGTCTGGCATAACCGCGCTGGAACAACTGACAATTGTTATCGAAAAACGAAAATATTTATGAAATATCTACCTATTGCAAAAGTAAAGAGTATTTCATAACAGCGAGTGAGTAAAGTCGTTTATTGGGGCCGTTTTGGGCTCTAAAAACGGTGAGGTTTCCCTCTGTGTCCATGACTTCCGTGACTCTTCATGTGAGGTAGGTGTCGAACAGTCAGACGTTGTCAGTGTATATTATTAAATAAACTGGTTAATCTCTATGTTAAATGAATCCCATATTTCTAAGATTTATCGGCATATTGTTTATTGAAATTATAGGTGAAGTGGAGCTAGGTTTTGACAAGTCTCGTCTGAGTAGCTCCTCGACTTACGAAGATATAAGATACGGTTAGAATAGCTAAAAGAAGTGCAACTAGGAAAGCAAGGTTCAACGAGAAAATGGCAGCCATTATTTATCCGTTGATTGGTTATCCGGGTTGAGATTTGAAGTGTTTCGCGCGAACAGCTTAGCTGAGAATTATGAAATGGTAGAGACTGTCTATGACTTTGACTAAGAATATCTGATTGTGCCACTGCATACGTAATGTCTAAAGTTCAAATGGGCTAATACACGGAAACGTAATTCGCTTCATGTAGTTACCACCAAACCCCGTTTTGTGGTAGATTGGCTAATTGGATAATGTTCCGTTGTCCCCTTCACGGCAGTAGCAGTTAGGTTCAATAAACAGAAGAGCCTTCACAGTGACCGCGGTCTATAGAGTTTTGTCGGACTTTCTATTTGTTCATAAAGTTCAGTATTTATTTGCTAATGAATCCCTATTATGATACACCAAGGCGTACAGTCAATGACAGGAACACACGTCAGAACTTAAGCGAACCATCAAAATGCGGAGCGGCCGGATATTCAAGTCAACGTGACATCTGTGTGTATCGATTACATCCAGCGGTATATTTCGTATGACTCGATCTTTGCCAAACCGTGGAGAAGGGCTTTTGGCAAACGAGTAATGTCGTCGAGCTGTACCGCCATTACTTCAGATAGTTTCGACGAGCTCTTTCAGACCAAATCAAAAAGTACTTGGAGCAAACTACTTTCCTGTTGTTGCTGGTTTCCTCAAAGACGTGAGTCTATCTACATCTAGTAAATCACTAATCAAATTTAAAAAATTCATTTAATTGTTACCAAAAATACAATTAAAAATGTATAGGGCAGTTCAAATTTTTGGTATGAAATGGCTCTATGGACAATTTATTTAAAGCAACAATCTTCTACTACATACAAAACAAATAACAATTAACTCACTTCGATTTCAGGCAAAAATGTTCGAGTAGTTCCTATATTGAAGACACCTAAACTGAGACAAGTCATTGTAAGTGAAAATGTATCTCGCCAAGACAAGGTAAGTCGTCTAACCACAAATAATACCTTGGAAGGATACGCCGTTTGAGCTAAACGTTCTCTTGTTCGAACACACACTTTGTTCTCTAATAATTCGGTCATTAAACTTGGGCATATAATGGTATCTGCTCTACATCTTGATAAGCCCCCTATATGCAAAGACTTTCCTTATTACTTTAGTGTGAGAGACCACTTTATAATATTTAATTAGAAGCCATTGAATTTAAACTGCCTATATGTGGAATTGGATTTGCACCCTCGGCGTACTAAACAGCTGACCGCGTAAATGCTATTTTTATCCTTGAGGAAATGGTATTATTTAAACTACTGAGCCAAGTTATAATTTAAAAACTCTCACGACTATACATATATTATTCCAATCTGTTCTCTAACCTATGCAGCATTCGATGCATGAATAGATTTTAACGTACGAGCGTGTGACGCGAGCCTAAACATGCCGATTGATTTTTCCCTTGTTTAATTGCAGGTTCAAATCCGGATGTCCCTCGTGGAGGAGCGATCATTAACGCCAATCACAACAGACACAGCCTATGCAAAACCGCCAATTCATAAAAGGCGAAAACTGATTGCTGCGGCTCACGAGTTCAGTGAGCTCATGACTTTTAATAGGATTGAAGTTGATACCGAGGTAATTTGTATGCCCTCTTTCTTCAGTATCAAATCAGCTTTTGCTAATGTCTATGGGTTAAGCCAGTGCAGAACTATGTGGGATCTGCTGATTCTCCCAATGCAAATCACTGTCCGCACTGGTGAAGACAATCAAAGATATCGATATCCCTACAAGGTGCAGAAATTTCGACTGCGAATCGGGGTACATAGACACGAAAACCAAAATGTCGAGAGGCTCGCACATGAAAAATTAAATACAACAGCAGCTGTCGGTATGGTGCGAGTTTAAGCCTAAGAGCGGCGCAAAAGTGGAGCTCGCTCGCTGTCTGCTGTAAATCGGCTGTTTGCTGCCATCGGAGATACCAGAGGCCCTATCAGCAACGAGACTCTTAATTAAAAAAAATCACAATATCTCGTAGCGGTAATTTCTAGCCGATTTTCGATACATTGTTGAGTTAGACTTAATTTGCGAGTTAGTTTTTTTTGCTGTTTTAGTATCTAAGTAGTCAAGTTGCAACGTTTTCATTATTCTCTAGGTACTCGTTTTCCTTCGTTTACAGACGGCGTCACTGTTGCTTATATAAAGGTGACGTTAACGTCACTTTAAGTTCACTTTAAGGTCACTCTAAGTTAAGGTCACTAATGTCTTGTTTCTGTTGGCGCGTTCATGATATTCTATGTATTGTTACTAGACGTCCTCTATAGACAGGCAGCACATTTGAAAGAGCATGATTCATATCATGAAAAAGTCTATTATGAGCCACTTCGGTTACATTACAGCCGAAAATTCGATTCACCTTATTAAATAAGATCGATGAACTTACTTTGCCTCATTTTCTTCTATTTAATAAGAGTTCTTTACAGCCTGTACTTAAGTTTTTTCCTTGCGGTTTTGTTTCCTTTTGCTGGTGTTGACGGGAAATACAGCTATGCACTCAAATGCGCACTAATCATCTAGACCGCCCTGTCTCAACTATATCCAAACAGCTTTTACTATTTAGCGCTCTAACTAAACATTGTCATTCACTATTGTGCAATATCGTAGTTTTGTATATTTGTGCCACACTTATTTCATATCGTTGTGCATAACAATTTGTTTTGGCTGAAGCTCAACGAGCCATAAAATAGTTAGAGCTCCGTTAGATCGACATGTCATTTAATTACATCCTGGTTTCGTCGATTAATGCAACCTCTTTTTACTGAACTACATCCGTTTTTACGCGTCGGTAAAGGGCGCGTTGATAAAGTGCAAAAAATAATTGTTACTTCGTAAACAAAATTAACATCTCTTTTCGTATATTAAATGTGAAAGTTAATGAACATACTGAACTATACTTTGGTGCATTACCGCAAGATTACTGAAAACTTTAGACGTTTGATACTGAAAAATTAGAGCAACGAGGCGTGGCCCAAAGAGTGGTAGTCATTCTAAGTTGCTGCTTACGCGTGCCGATCCAAAACAGTGAATAATATTGGGACGGAAAGAACTCGTTCAATTTTTAAATATGGTACATCAAAATCATGGAAAGTTATTGTTGTGATAACTGTACGGTGTTTATTGGATGACCTGGTTGTCTAAGTAGCTGCTCGGGTACTTGTCTATCATCGTTTGTTTATATATCATTATACTTTTTGGAAGCACCTTTGTTTCGCTTTCTACAGCCAATCATTACCTCGAAAAGCAAACGGAATGCGGTAAGGTTTCAGCTTTGCCGTCTCCGAAAGTCTGCCGGCGAAAGACGGCGTCACGAACAGGAACTTAGTAATCGTTTGGCTGCACTAGAGCTTCGACTTCGTGATATCGACGACGAGGTCATTTCCTCGTCGGAGTCAAATCGACGACCCGATGAAAGGAAATTTGGCGCGCGTGCAGATCATAAAGTGCCAAGAATGGCTACTCGTGAAATAGAACGTAGATCACTGAGAAAACCGAAAGAAATCTGTGCAATAGATCGCTCGACTGTGAGTAATAATCTTCGCTACCCAGACGTCAAAAAAACGCTCGATATGGTTTTTAACATCTAAACAGAAATTGAGAGATTATTGGAAATGGATCCATACCGTTATTGAATTCCCCGTTAAAGTATCGCAACCCATAACCATGTATTTGTGGCTACGACGCCGCAGTCCCGAGTCATTTTGTGACGCCTGTGTTAAGTAAGCGTCAACGCATTCGGTACCTTTGATTAATGTTATCGACTATCCCGTTTAGCTGAGCCATATTGTAGAGCCCATGTACAATTACACTACCGCAAAATCTATATGTGTAGAGCCGTTTACTGTGAGTCACTGTAAGTCTAGAAAGACTTAATGACTTATTAGAAATTTAAGCAGCCACAATGAGGAACTCGCAAATCGAAACTCGTTGTTAGTACTGTTTGACGTTACGCCGATTAATGAAAGCATCTCAGAAATGGCGGAACCACGTGGTCACTTACCACTTTCGGGAAACAAGCCGAATACCTTGTATTGATATAAAAATAAAGAAATCTTCCAGGATAGAGCCTGGAATGCTCAGAAGAAGCCAATTAAATCACTTTGAATAAGTAACCCATACAATGAGATGCTGAGTCTCTTTGAACCTGATCGATTGAGACGATTGTCAATTTTAGTACAGTTTGTACTTATACGTGATCCGCCTCTGCTGCCAAAACTTTTGTAGGTGGACTTCTTACAAATCTTTTGCTCAACGTCAAAGACAACGGCGATGATTTAAGTTTTTTTTTTATTACACACAGATCGAATTGGTTCCACGCACCGAACTTCACTAGTGGATTAGAAGGATTATTTCAATCATTCATTTTTTAGAAAAGCTGAAAATCGAACCGGGAGCTGAAAGTTGAGAATTTCAATGTATTGCAAAAGGATGGTATTGAAGCATCACGAGCGCCGCCGAAAATCAATGCCATATTGGACATGTGATGATTGCGATTCGCGATCCAAGATTCAGAAGCACTCCTTTAGGAAGAGTCGAGTAGATGGAATACAGGTGAGACCAAATTAAAAAAATATTTAGCCATTCAAATCAAACAAAGTTTTGAATCTCCGACTAGCGACGATCGAAAGATACGCTGATGATGAAAATTACGCTGATAGAAATAAATCTACTTCATGTGGTTTTTGCATCAGCATCATAACAGCACATGTGCTCCGATTGCGTAGGAGAAACACATGGACCTTTGACTTCATCATGACCCTAGTCTTTTATCAATAGTGTATTGGCTTGCTGATACGTGTGCTACAGACGAAGCCATTGTAATGCAGCGCTCTGTAGTGTATTAGGATTCTGTGTAATGATGATCTCAGATGACGCTAAGTTGTTCAATATCGTTAGTATAAATCTACTTCTTAAATATTGTAAATATTCGCTGAATAATTTAGTTAAAAAAGAACGTTCAATGGTTTTCTTTACAGCCCTGCATCATCCTGCATAGATCGATGGTTAGCTTGCTTTGTAAAAACCAATGAATTAACGAGAATGCTAATATAATTTTTTTAGCTTAGTTAATCTGTAATGCATGTCACATGAAACCGTGTTTCTCTTTTTACACGGTCCGAGCCGACACAGGATACTGATGGGCTTACTGATGAAATTAAACCCTTCAATTGTCTTTCAAACAGGTACCCTAAGGCACTCAAGTACAGCAAACCTTCAAGGAGCCGGTTGGCATCACGACCTAGAACATCCACGGGGATACCTGGCATTACCCATAAATTAGTCCTGGTTAAAAAAAAACTGCAGTAAGAAGTCGCTTACGGTATACGCTATGTCGTATCTATTATTGCTTAGTTCATGTGGAAGACTAATGCTTTAACCAGTTAATATGGCTTTCTAAGATATGTACTCATCTAAGTCTTCTCCTAAAAATCGATTAAGCAGGCAACAGATTTCGTAGGAAAATTACATAATGAAAAATACAAAATTCGAACAGATGTAGACAGTATAAACGCGCGGTTTCTTATGCGTGCTTTTCCCAACTAACGAACTATTAATTTCTATTGTTAGCTGGACGAGTGTAGGCAACTTTGTCCATTCTATTAACATAAACATGTACACAATTCTTTATAGATACGGCAAGCGTATACGAGAGTTAAATTGATTCAAGGAAAATATATGTTACTATTGTACTATGCATGTGCTGTTTGAATGAAGTTAGCATTTCAATTAAAGTACTCACTAAAAATACAGATGAGTGCTTGTAGTAGAAGCGTTTATCTAAAGGTTTTCGTCGACAAAGGATGAAAATCGTATTATTCTACACACTGATGACTAGTTATGAATATATCATAGTTCAATATCTGAACATCGACTCAGAGCAGACTTTGTTGCAGACAGCGTATAAGAAGTTCTACAGAATTTAGTTTATGATAATGTCATTAAACTCATAAATAATGGTACTTTGGTAATTTAGTGATTTGTCATCTGTAAAGATGTACGAATAAATGATATTCCTATCATGGCGACAATAAATTAATTTTCCTAGTTTCATTATTCTTATTATCACTTACGTAAGAGGAATATCGACTCATATTCGGGAAACTGTCTCGGAAATGATGGATCGCGGCCAAAAATTGTTTAGGCGCACAACTATACTGCCGTACCCTAACTAAGATGATTTAATTCAATAATTGATGTCATATCTATATATGTGCGTCCGTCTATAGGCCCGTCTGTCTTTTTTCCCAAAAGTACTGCTGCTTTTACTAGAGTGCCGTTGTCATTCATAAATTTGATACTCATCGCCAGCGTTATCAACGACTCTCTCGCAATTAGCCATCGAACAGAAGGCAAACGTTATAGAGGAGCCAGTGCTGCGGCTGTTCTATTAAATCCTCTGTATAACGGTGTGCTATTGTATCGACGACAAGGTAGATCCTTCGATTGCTCCTTAACCACCTTGACAATGAAGCATTCAAAGTGTGATAACGTCAAGCGCCTTCGGTTGCGGGATCGTTCGATGGTATGACTTTGGTCAACCGAATACAGACCAATCTTCTTTCCCACCGTGATTATCGTCCCAGCAGGGTAGGCACTAGCATATTGCATTGATTGATCGAAAATAGCAGAAAGTACATAGCGACGTCAAATATATTTTCTAAAGTAAACCTTTTCTATAGCAAAAAAACGGTGAACGCACATATTCGCTAACCAAGTTACATTTCTTCGTTCTCCCGGTCACCTTACTCGCTTGGTCCAAGTAACTGCTTCCCGTCGCTCGGAAGTTGTTTTCATCGCTAACATACGCACACACACACACACGTGGGCGTTGTATTCTTAAAAATGTACAGTTTCGGATCTGATGGTCGACTAGGTTTTCGGCTGCTACGTGCCGGCACAACATAGTGTTCCGTCGATCTTTGCACGTAGTTGAGATGATTAGCGTTGCCAGTTCTGCTACGACTGTTTATAAGACCGCCGTGGAATTAACGGGCCCCGGAAATTTTTGGCTGATAAAAGAGGAAATGAAATTGGCTGGTCAGTTATTCATCTGGATGGTTGGGCTACTAATATTCGACGAGTTACATATATCGGCGTGAAAGGTACTGCTGTCTCCGTAAGCACGTGCGTATCGCACGGAAGAAGGTAAAAAAGCGTGTAGAGCACAATCAAGGAGACCCAAGCCAGGTCTCTGTACGACCGACCATAGGTTGAGCGAAGGGACATGACAACGTCAGTAGAATTTTATTCGCATAACAATTTGAAATAGAAAATAAGCTATAGCGACTCCAAACCTTCCAGTAAAATCTTATAAAATTTAGATAGAGCGTATACTCTGAAAGAAAAATATTATTGTCGACGTTATTATGACACACTTAGCGTGTTGTTAATTGCGGTTTTGGAGTACTGGAGTTTTGGAGCACAAATCAACTGCTTTATTAAATGTCTATATGGAAATAACATTCGTCAATAATGCTTCTGAAATTAACATGTAGTGATCTATACATTCTTCTGTTAATCAAACCATTTTTATTAACCAAGTACTGTTATTCCAAATCCTATTCCTCAATCATCCATTCGCCTATTATCGTTTCTTAACGACGATTGACGGCTTTACTACGCGTAAACAACAACGTTGTCAAGAATTACTGAAGAAATATGCAATCATTAGTGTTAATACCTTTAGCTGATACTATCCTTAGGACAATGAAAAGGAGTGCCATTTACATATTTACATTTACACAAATAAGTTATCATAACCACAATAGGTAAAGTCAAAGGAAAACTCTTGTTCATTGAATCTGTTCGTGTAAATCTTCTACCAAGCAACATAATTTTTGATATGCTAAAACTTGCTAGGATGACGGCGTCTGGTTAGGATGTCTCGATAATAACCTAAAAGTAGTTATTTGGCTCCTATGTATCATTATATAGTTATATCAATTATCAATTTACTCACTGCACACGTTAAAATGGTTGTAGAATATTCCTCAGTGGGAGGCTTACGCTTGAAACGGTATCAACTGTCCAGAGGTTGAAATACGTAATTATCATGAGAAACAGATAATAAGAAAGTAGTTTGATTGTAAATTTTATAAATAATAATAAATAAAAAAATAAAAAATAAATAGAGCAACCCTATCGATCGATAGTAATCACTTCGTGTGCGTAGCCAAGGTTTTCTTTTGCGTGGTTCCAATGGATAATTATCAAAAAAGCGTGGCGCCGTGTGGTCAAACTTGAAGCGTTATTTTAAAAGCTGCTTTAGTAATACTAACCTACATAGGACAAAATTAACTGGCCCAAAAAAACCTTATTTATCATACATTTTCAAAGTAAAGAATTTTCAATTAAATCAAATGTTATTAAAGCAAACCTATACACTGTACAAAAATATAGCCAAAAAGGACTCTCTGTAATAACTAAAGATACGTGTCCTGAAAAAGAAAAAAAACTGCATTTTCTAAAGAAGTCGTTAAGAGATAACATGACCATGCACCTGGCCGAGCAAACATTTTGTTTGAAGAAGTTGTTATTAACTTCATTATTAAATTCAAGAGGTAGTCATCTCCTCAAAACATGGTGCCCCTGTACAACGTCATGATGTAGCCATTCGTGTTGCTGGTTCTGTTATTTGTGGGCCAATAAGCTGAATGCTTTTATGCTATAAATATTTAACACGACCGTCATACTACACTAAGGTGGTTGTTTCAGGCTTCGCGAATTATCTTGAAAATGGTTTCCATCTAACTTACAAAAAATTTCCGCGCTACACTCAGATCTTGCTTCCTTGGCACACACGTCCACCCGTCTTCAGTTGAGAACGTTGCAGCGTCGAGTTGGACTGGGAAGGGCAATTATATAATGCCATTGATTTAGAGTTGTATCTAAATAAAATTAGTTTAGATACAGTGTAAAATTTACGGGTAGATATTAAGCGCTTTGTTAAGAAGCTATTGGTGACGCATGACGGCAGACGCAATCGTTTCAGCCTAACCATCAGATAGATGCAGTCGAGTCTTAAAACTCGCCGTAGATTATGGGTGGGTGCTCATTGACTATGCATGAACTAGTGTACTCAAATGGCAAAGCTTACACCCCGTTTATGATTGGCAAAGCCAATTATATAGTTTTCTGTCTCACAAACCATGACAGAACAAACATTTATCGAAATCGGGCCATAAACAGTAAGTGACGCACAAGGCAAAATCCGTTGCATTACAATAATAGACTCGTTAAAGACACTGACTTTGAAGGTCATAGAATCATCGTTCTGCCCTGGCATTATATAAATAATCTAAATGGAGATCACAGTTCTTCGCATAAGTGACAGGCACTGTTGGTCGCCTCGCAAATGAAGCTCTAAGCCAATACCTTTCTTCAAGGACCAGACCAAATCACATATGCTGCTTGCGTCCGATTTACTCGTCGATTAGTGCAATTTGGACACAGACATATGCACTTGCAGAAGTTAGCCTCTGATTTCATTTAATTATGTACTATACATTACATAATGGTTTAATTTAAGTAGAGCTAAAAATAGCAATCATTTGATTAGCCAACAGAGATAGAAGTCTCTCTGTATTACAATTCATACATAATACTAGACAAGTAATAAATTGAGTACAACGGCTAGAGTAAAAATGACCCAGTGTTATCTTTGTGCTGCCGAACGGGTGAGAACGCTAAAGGTATATCTGAATAAACATCGCTAGTTACTCGGCTTTCCCGGATCAGTGATGAATTACTGAATCGGATGATAAAATCGCTTGATCAAGTTTACTGCAGCGTAATTGTATTTATTATCTACAAGGCTGCTACTGGGTTAATCCAGTATATTGCTGATCGAAAAGTATCTTTATTACTACACGAAATTCGATTATGTAAAACACTTCAAAGTCGTAGAGCTGTCACTTGCCCATGCTCAACTTATAGTATAAACGCTACTACTATTATTATTCCGTGTATTAGAACATTGTTTATTGTCAACTAGAAGCATAATAATTCCATGTATTTATATTTGACATTTGATTATTATGCGTTCTCATTTCGATCTGCTGTCAATAGGTAGGGTCGTGTGTTAGTCTGTAGATTTGAAGTAGCCTACATGACATATATTTGTGCTTTGTATATTTGGTCGGACTTTCCTAATAAATATTTCCGAACTACAACCTTGGATTAGGACCTTAAACCTCATACAGTTTTGTGTGTAATAAGAAGCACTCAACACGTGTTCTCATAGCTATTCTGTAGTAGAATGACATCTGGTTATGAAGGCCACTATCACCGTCATGGCCGTTATTTATCGCTGCCCTTCGATAATGTGTGGTACTATCATCTTTATTCATGTCACCTGCCATTCATTTCTAGCGTACTTCTTCCTAAACAACGCTACGTCACAATAAATTTGATAATATATTATGCTTATCCTCTATTAAGATTTGTAATATTTACTACAGCAGAATTTCCGTATGTCTAGTACCGTGAAATTGTTGTAATCTCCCGGCCCTTTTTCCCAGTGCGATCGCTAAAGACGGACAGGTCAGGAAAAGCCGATTAGTTTACTATATGGCCGTCGAAAGCCAATGGCCCAACGCAATATACATATATATTTCCCCGTCTTCTACACCAGCCAATGGGCAGATGTAGCTGTATGGCCTAACCCGTTATGAGAGTCCCAAAGGTAAGCTTCTCGGGAATATCGTAGTGGGCCGAATTGAACGTGCCAAAAGACGGTCGCTTTCTACTCGCACGATTACTGTCACTAATAATAATAACAGTTGCTGTTCAAGCTGCAATGGCGTGTCTTCCAGGCACAGATTTGCATACAGTCACTACCCGCTACCGGTCGCAGCAGTAATAAGCCTGATCAGCAAAGGCAGCGGTACCGAAAGTTACCACGCAAAAGTCGTCATCG